GCCACAGAATCTCCCTTTTTAATATAATTATAATTTAATTTTCGGTAATTACCTAATTTTCTTTATAAAGTTTTATTTTTGTTTTACTTTTTTTATAAACTTTTTTTTTCTGCTTTGTCATTATTAAAATAGAAATTTTAAATATAATTTTATTTTTACCATTACCTACCTATTAATTTAAAAAAAAACAATAAAATCTGTTAAATAAATAAATTTATTGGTTTGAATGAGAATAAAATACAGAAATAGATACTTGAATGTAAAGATGAAAATGAAAATACTATAATTTAATACTAAATAAATAAATAAGAAATTATAAGCTAATATTTTTTACCATATGTGTAGGTCTAAAATGATATCTGAATAAATATATTTATAATTACATAGATATATGTATATTTAATCATCAATTTCTTGTGAATTAAGTACGTATGATAAAAGACGGAGTCAGAGTTGGCTTAGAAATGATGAGCGATGAAATGCACTTACATGTAAAAATCATCAGTTACCTTTTTCATGCCAACTATGAAATAAACATTATTTTGAAAAATGTTGCTCATGGAATGGAACACACAAGATAGAATAAAAATATTAAAATTTTAATATATTGACCCAATGCCAAAAGAAGAGAGATGTGTTTTTATTTCATGGCAATATATCTTATTATAGATTTAGACAGCTCTTATTTCATTATCAATAGAATTAGACACAAATAAAACACTATAGATGGCTACATTTGAAAAGAAAAAGTAATTTATTTAATAAGATGAAACTCCCCTAAACCCAGCCTAGGACACAGTACATTCTGTTTTCAAAATTTAAATTATACATGATTTAAAAAAAAATAAACAGACAAATTCTGTCCTTAATATCCATTATTATAGGATCCATCTAATTTTGGGGCTTCCAATATTCTCAACACTACAACACTAGACTGCTGCTTTTCTAGCCCTATTTTTTTCTACCTTTATTGCCGTGCTTCTTAATTCTTTGTCATGTCCAATTGTCCAAAATGTCTACAAAATATATAATATTATTTTATATATGATTAAATATCAGTACTGATACTGTTTCTGTCCACTGTACTTGGTTTGTTAATTGTTGACATATATTTTAGATTGAAATGTTTTGTTTTGTGCAAGTTGTAAAATGTTCGTGTTATAATAGGATTATATTCAATGACTAAATGTTGTAAGTTACAGAATTTTTTATATAGTTTTAATTATTATTTTCTTTTATTTACTAAGTGAGTGACCTTTGATGAAATGTGCTATAGGGAAAAAAATTATAGTTGTTTTTTCCCCTTTCTCCCTTTTTTTGTGTAATGATATGAATTAATCTCATCTCTTTATATTTATTATTGTAGTTACTCCTGAAGAAGTTAATAAAAATTAACGAAATATCGAGTTTAAAAACAAATTAGTTTAAATTGAATCTACAGACCGCTACCCGATATTGTTCCACATTAAATTTAGAAGTACGGTCGAGATTACCACTATCATATAATATTATATTTAATTAATATATCTGTGATTTATGAATCATATTTTGTAATAAAACATCATGGCAAATATTAAGATATCTAACATTTGTTTTCCACACCACAAAGCATAATAATATTGTAGTATTAAAACAAATTATAACAAAAAGTATCTTGTTAAAACATTTTGATTTTTTGCATCATAATGTAAATTTAATACATTCAAATTAGAAACTTCGCCACAGACTTCGTCATATTGTCAAGATTTTCTTGGCGGTATTTTGACAACTTGCAAGAAATTACATAAAATAAAACAATGAAAATACAGAATATTAAATATTGTAATGTATTCTACAACATAGACCATCTACCTCCTAAAGAGTAAAAGATAAAGCTTATTAACTCTATCACCATTTTTTCATAAAAAAATATGTGCCTACATTTTTCTAATACAGTAACTTAAATTATAACCACACCAGATAAACTGTTGAATGTTTAAATATTATTACCTTTGTCGCATTGATATCTGCTATAACTCTGTATAAATTAAAGTGGATTGCGTAAGTAATTATTTACTGTTACCTCTTTACTAGATTTTACCAAAATTTAGAGTAATTTAATATATAAGTCAGAAATAATAAAATGAATATGTTGCCTGCAAATAAATAAAAAATTAAACCGCTTGGGTGTAATGACATGATAATTGAGATATAATATTCATAGGTTTAAAACCATCAAATAAGAATAACAATAAATGATTATGATTTATGTTTTTAATGTATATGAATGATAATATTATGATCCGATCACAATGATAATACCTTACTTCACAATCTCCATTAAGTATATTTCCTCTATTTTACACATAATTCACATCTTTGGAATTTTGATATTCGTCAAGATAAATCTAAAAATCTTAAAATATAAAATTAATCATAGAATTTCTATTGTTACTGTACCAAAGATACTGTATTATACATGCTACATTTACCTGAAATAGGAGAAAATCGAGTAGAATGATATCATAACTCCATGCTGCTTTTGAAGATGCGCTAAAAGACCTTTATCAGTAGGAAAGGATACAAAGCAGCCTTCTAAACATTTATAAATAATTAACTGTCCTTTATACATAACTTCAGTGAAAAAGAGATTAGAAAAAACAAGGTTAGAAAAAATAAAAAATAAATAGTAAATATAAATAGTATTTGTAGAAATATGGCAACATCTGCAACCTGCGCATGCGTAGTATCAACTATCACTCGTAGTAACTTTTACCCTCAAAATTTCATTCGAATCACTAAAAGTATTTGGAAGAAAATTATAATAAATCGAAAAAACGAAGATTTTAACCCCCTGTAGCTACGAAACGAAGCAGAATCGGACGTATGTTAATATAAAAAAAATTGGCCCCGGGAGGCACGTATAGCCGCCTATACTTCATATTTTTTTTTATCTCAAAAACTGCGACTTTGACTGATTTTGATGTTATTACAAATATTATTCCTAATTTTAAATTGAAAACCGCGTTTCGCTACCTCCTGTAACTTTGGAGTCACGATTTTTTAAAATTTTTAACCCCCTTCCATATCCCCTTACCAACCCCCCACCCCCATCAAAAACTAATGGCCAGATTCTCGGGTGTCACAGTATTTTTGTGCCAAATTTGGTTAAAATCGGTTTAGCGGTTTTTGAGTTATCGTGTTACAGACGAACAGACAAACAGATACCATGAAAATATTTTGTATTTAGGTCATTTATGACCCAAATAACTCATTTTGCGTGAAATTGAAAAAACTGTTTTTGCCGATCTTAATAGCCGACCATACCGACAGGTAAATAAATAATAATTATAAACAGGTAATAAATCTTATTTTTACTAGTAGTGGGAAGTATCGAATGAATACTATCGAAACATTCGATAGTTGCAATTCATTCGAATAATTCGATAGTTAGTAAGAAAACATTCGTTGAAAACTATTCGAATAAAAATTATCGAATAGATCCGTCATCTGCCTTGAAATATTGTATTCTAGTAATTCGGCAGCAAAAACCAAAACCATTCATTTATAAAATTCATTCATTTATGAAATCATTTATTCGTCAGGATCGATTATAATAAAATATTAACTGAATTTTAGTTGTCGCCCGGCGACGCGACGTAGGTTTCTTTCCGAGAGACCCGACAGCGGTCGGTGGCAATGCTATGAAAGAAGCCGGCATCTTTGATTTTTTGCGGAGTCAGATATAGATAAGGACACATTATTTTTTTTTATTAAGGTGCTAGTATTTACACAGAAAATACATTATGAAGGGCGCTGTTGCCATATTTTGGTATTAGTTGATATTAGCAAAGAATATTATTGTTTGGCTTTAGTTAGTTAGGGATAGTATGTCTATATATTCTGCATTTTTTTATTAATATTCTGTTGTTACACTGCAATACTACTTATTATTTTGGATGTAGGAAAATGATTTTTAATGTTTTTAAGCAAAGACTGGTTTAAGAAATAATAATAACAGTAATAATTTGTTATACCTATTAACAACAAAATTTAAAAGCATTTAATATAAATATTTTTTTAAGTAGTTGCAAAATATAAACAACAAATTAGATGTCAAAATTAGGTGCTTTATATTACTATTTAAAAATTATATTTACTTTTACTGGCATTTACTTTAAAAAATAAATCAAATATTTCTTCGCAAAAAACTACATGTAAGAGAATTAGCATAAACAAAATACAAACATCGTTAACTTTTTATTTAAATTGGCACGTGTAAAACTTTCATTTTAATTTTCTCACCCCATAGTTTGAGTTCGATAACCACATTTACTTAACCACATTACTTAAATATGATTATTAAGTTCAACTAATTCATATTATTAAAACATCTAAAATACAAATATGTACTTTTAAAATTAATTTAAGTTCATCTCATCTCTCTTAAAAATTGCTACTTCTCAAAATTTCCCATTAAAAAATAGACCATATACCATATAAAATTAAATAATTGAAAGATCGGACTACGGAAAACCACACAACTTTTCGGAAAAATTTTGACCACCTGCACATGCACACAATCGTCAATAAATAAAATTAAAAAATAACTACTATTTTAGTATTTTAACTATTTTAATAAACGCAAAAATAGCACAGTATTTATACGGCGAAGTTATAAAAATTTGGAAGAACTAATAATGCACTGACGTATACAAAAATCAAACGAATACTAAATTTCATTTATCAAAAGCAATCGATAGTCATGGCTCAACGATAACCATTTAGTCGCACGGCGAGGTTGTCACATATGCTTTAGTATACAAATGAATGAATGATTTTATTCGAATAAAACCATTCGATAGTTGATCATTCATTCATTAACCATTCGATAGTATAATTCATTCGATAGTTCCCATCGCTAATTTTTACGTCAGGAATCTCTCCACGAGAGACGGCACATGTTTTTTGAAACACCCTGTATATTGTGGAATTTGTTTAATAAATTGTTGATTATACAGGTTGCTGCGGATTTAAAACAAATTGACGAAGGATCTCACGAGGATATACCGATGAAAGTAATGAAAATGTACAAAGCCAGAAAATATGTAAAAGAAATAATTGTAAAAAGCTTCGATCTGACAAAAGGTCCTAAATTCACTACAAATTTAGTTAGGTTGGAAGCCGATTTGACGGCCGATATGCTAGCAAGTGGTAGCTGGCAACATCTAAAGTTTAAGGAATATAATTTCGATGCCTTAGGTGAAATTTTAATATTTCTTATTTTGGGTCTTGTACGATTTAGGTACGTCGGATTTTTAAAATTTTCTATAGACTTGGTGCATTCTCCGCCGGTGCTGCCACCATCGGAGAATATCGTAAACAACTAGTATACTAAGGGCTAGCAAAGGTTAGTCTTGGGTCGATATTTCCGTATGTAAGAAGAGTACAATTCGTTTATAATGTACTGAACAAAGAGAGGACAGTAAACACGTTGCCAAACGTATGAAATAAACCCAGAAACTGTGCACATTGCTAAGAGACGTGGAAGGAGATATAGCAGATTTGTCGCAGTCGACCGGTCGACCCAGTCAGTATCTCTGTCAGTACTTTATTCACTGTTAGTACCTTTGTACAGTCGACGCCAAGTTCTAGGGAAAGGTGTACAGGGTGGGTCAAATTCGACACTTTTAAATGGAAACACCCTTTTCTATAGGAGATAGAAAACTAATATCGGTGTCTGGAGCTCAATTTTTGTCAAAAACATGATGGTGAAAACCGCACACCAATATCTGTTACCGTTTCGGAGTTACGGGGTGTTTTTCAAAAATGTGCATTTTTAACAAATCGCTGTAACTTTTTTACTATGGAAAATTTTGTATTTCTATGAAAACATTTACAAAGCACCTTTTACGTAGAATTTAATGGTTTAAGTATATTTTTTTTAAAATTAATGATTTGAGAGTTATCAACAGAAAAATTGATTTTTTATTTGGGAGACCCTCTATATTTTTAATTAACTGAAAAGAATTTAAAATTACCTTTCCAAAAATATAGCACACTTGATATTTTGTTATAATCCCCTTCAAAATACAGAATTTTTAAAAGTTCGCCACTTTTAACTAGTAGGCTTTGGACCCCTTATTGATGATATGCCCTTAATGGAACTCGAAAACATTATATTTCCAGCAAGACGACGCACCGCCTCTGAACGCTGAAGTTATCAGCAAATTTTTGCAGCCAATTTCAAGAATAATTGAATAGCTAACCAAGATCCCAGCCATTGGCCGTCGAGGCCGCCTAACTTAGTGCCCATGGATCTAATCCTATACATATATTTGCGGAAGAATGAAGGTTCCTTATTCTTCCATATAATCTAGACAAGAATTAAAAATACTTAGAAGTTATGAGGGGGTATCTTTCACCCTACCGAGTTAATGAATTCCGCGAGAAATGTTCAAAAACTGACCCGTCTGTCCATAACAGAAGACGGTCGATATGTCGAACACCTGTAGCAAAATCTCATGTCTTGGTTTGCTATTTATTTTTATTGTTATTAGGTATAGTTTAAATGTGTTGATGTTGGTTAAATATATTTTAAATTGTTATAAAATTCTGCATCTCTCATAGCAAATATTATTTTCGTTTTAATTGGTGCTCACAGCTAGAATTTTTTTGCATTACAGCCGGTGCCGTTCAAAACCTACTTATTTAAAGAGGGCGAATTTTTATATACTCTATATCTCGAAGAGAAATTGAGCAAAATATCAAGTGTGTTATATTTTAGGAAAGCTAATTTTAAATTCTTTTCAATAAATTAAAAATATACAGGGTGTCCCATATAACAAATCAAATTTTCTGTTGATAATTCTTAAATTATTAATTTTAAAAAAATTATACTTAAACCATTAAATTCTACGTAAAAAGGTGCTTTGGAAATGTTTTCGAAAAAAAAAAAATTTCCATAGCGAAAAAGTTACAGCGATTTGTTAAAAATGCATATTTTTGAAAAACATCCCGTAACTCCGAAACGGTAACAGATATCGATATGCAGTTTTCACCATCATGTTTTTGATGAAAATTGAGCTCCAGACACCGATATTAGTTTTCGTCTATCTCCTATAGAAAAGGGTGTTTCCATTTAAAAGCGTCGAATTTGACCCACCCTGTACATCATGCGTTCAGCTTCACGATTTAATTACGTCTCGCGATATTTTATTTGTTTATTTATTAACGAGTCGTTGTATTTTCCCTATAGCTTGAAAATTTTTAAGTGCAAGTTAGTAACACTTGCATTTTTGGTAAATATAAGAGGAATTGAGTTGGTGTTCGACAGTGGTCGCGCTATTAGAACTCTGAAATCAAAAATCGATATCTCGAAATCTATTAGAAATAATTTATTATTGTTTTTTCAGAAACTTTCCTAACATTTCTGCTATATTTTATGGGAAAATCTTTATAAATAAAAAACTTACACGATTGCTGAAAATTGCTATGCACTAAATGTAAATCGATGGGTTGTTTAAAATTTTTGAATGGAAAAAAAAAACAACCTTATGGAATTTTTCTTGTTTAAACATATCGCAAAAGATCCGATCTTCACAATAAAAAAAAGTTTCAATGTCTAAAGTGGTTCTTAAGTTATGGCGTGTTATGTGTTAAAACGTTTTTAAATTATCGCGATTACTGACGTTTTATCGTTGGAAATGGATACCCTAACGATATCCTTATAATTCCATTTCAGATGTTCAGAAAAATATCTAATGATTTTATCTACGTCTAGTTATCTTTTTTTTAGTTTCTACACATGTAAATACCGATCCAAAAGTAACAGTTGCCAGCACGGTATACAAATACACGGGTTTAAATAGCGAGTATACGAAAAATGTACCGTATGATCGAATAAAAACGGCGTCCAGTTGGCTGGGAAATGACGATCGATGACATTTCCCATATAAATTTACATATAAAATGACAGCGATCTTCATTTCATAGCCATCGCTGACGCCGTTTTTATTCGATCATACGGTATTATATATAATTATTCTAAAAGTGTTAGGAAGTATAATTTGTGAAAATTCTAAAAATAAAAATAAAAAAGTAAATATATCATAATTATTTATAATATATACAGGGTGTTTCAAAACAAATGCGAAAAACTTTAGGGGGTGATTCCTTGTTCAAAATAAAGGGTAGTTTGCTTTATAAACGTTGGGTCAAAAGTCAACCATTAGGGAGATATCGCGGTACAAAGATGGCGGAAAAATAATGTTTTTATTTTTTATCTTGAAAACGAAAAGAGATAGACTAATGAAATTTTATGGAAGCATTACTGTTATGAAAACACACTTTCTGGTAATGTTTTCACTTTTTTAAAATGAGTGGAAGGGGTTGAAATAAACTACCCCTATCATTCTTGTTAACGAAATTTAAAGAAAAATCTTATCAAACACATACAAAAAAATTAATTTGGATAGTTTAGTTTGTTTAGAAACTTTTTTATCTCTTGTGTTTTTTTGACAAAACTCACCGATTTGAAATTAAAAAATAAAATGTAAAGCATTACATGCCAGGACAAAAAACATTTTCTGATAAAGAATCGCAAAGTTTTTCGCATTTGTTTTGAAACACCCTGTATATAATAAATCATATTTTTTTCTCTAAAGTAAATAATATTAACGGAGAAGAGCTATGGGACATCCTGTACACTTTGACCGTGTCAATCAGGCTTTAAGCAAAAATTGTAGAATATATTAATATCAAATTTACATGAATAACTTCTACAGGGTGAGTTTTCTACGATGTTCTCTATGGGTATCTCGGAAACTACTGGAGATAGAGACTCGGTTAAATGGGAAAAGAATTGCAGTTTTGTGGGGTCATAAATATGCGCCTTTCAGAAGTTCATGGCTTACTAGATATTTCGCAAAAAACAAATTTCGGCAATTTTGAAAATTATCTCTAATTCCATTATAATCTATTTTTGACAAAAAGTTTTCAGATAAAAGTTGTAGATAATCACATCCTTAATGAGACAGTATTCTCAGTTTTTCTCTAAATCCTGTCATTTTTGACATATGACACAAACTTATGTTTTTTTAAATGGAAACCATAGTTGGCCGTGACATAAAAAGCGCCATTTTTTAAGCTTTTTAGCGATATAAGCTACAATATGTTTTTTTCTAAAAATTACTGAGTTATAGCCAATTCTTGTATCCATCTTTCTCGACTAATTTCACTTACTTTATTCTTATTATGTTATTTATTTAATTATTATAATTTATGACTTATAAAAAGACAGAATATTTTATTAAACAATTCTTTACAATTTACATTACACAAACTTAAACTTAAAAAATAATATCACTACATACAGTTTAAGTTACTTTAGAAAATATTCAAAAAATATACCGCATAAAAAATCTAAAATAGATAGGTCAGGTAATCGAGGAGGCCCATGCAATTGGTCCACCTCTTCCTATCCTTGAGTTTAATAAATTATGATATAAATAATTTTTAACATTTTTTTCATTATGGGAGGGGGGGGGGGAGATGTCATAATGAAAATCATGTTGGAACCACTCTATTGATGCACGAGTCTCTAAATTTAACTTTTCTAACATGTCTTGAAAACCGTTCTCTAAAAAGCGTATGTAACGTATCCTCGAAAATGTATGGCCAAGAAAAGTTGAACTAATAATCTCACACGCTTTTCATCATTTGAAAAATTCATATTTTTTTCAATTTTTGGTTATTGTAATTTACAGAGTTTGGATGTGACAGTTTGGCATTTCTGAGAGCAACGACGATTGAACTTGGTTCCATGGCTAACTAAGTGAAATTGTTTAAAAATTATAAGAATTGGCTATAACTCAGTATTTTTTCAAAAAAAAACATAGTTTATATCATTGAAAATCTTAGAAAATGGCGCTTTTTATGAAGTCATGGCCAACTATGGTTTCCATTTAAAAAAACAAGTTTGTGTGATATGTCCAAAATGACAGACTTTAGAAAAAAAAGTAGAACACAATCTCATTAGGAATGTGATTATCTACAACTTTTATCCGAAAACTTTTTGTCTAAAATAGATTATAACGGAAATAGGGACCATTTTTAAAATTGCCAAAATTTGTTTTTTTTCGAAATATCTAGTAAGCCATGAACTTTTTCAAAAATCTGAAAGGCGCATATTTATGACTCCACAAAACTGCAATTCTTTCCCGAGTAGTTTCCGAGATACCCATAGAGAACATCGTAGAAAACTCACCCTGTATATTGGCGACTTACCTAAATCGTATACCTAAACCATAATTTTATTTTTTTTTCCATTTCTTTTTAACTTTAATGTTTTTTTAGGCGTGCCTTTAACTACAGGCTGTTTACATCCTCTTCTAAAAGTGCGAACTGAATTTAGACAGATTTTCTTAGAAATGGGCTTCACCGAAATGCCCACAAACAATTACATTGAGAGTTCGTTCTGGAATTTCGACGCCCTATTTCAGCCCCAACAGCACCCGGCTAGGGACGCCCACGATACGTTTTCATAAAGGACCCTCAGTTTAGCAGTCAGTTTCCTGCTGACTATCTGTACCGGGTGGCAACGGTGCATAGTAAAGGGTCTTATGGGTCTGATGGGTAAGTATCCAGGCCATTGAATATACCGGCCAGTCAGCCAGTGTACAGGGTGGGTCAAATTCGACGCTTTTAAATGGAAACACCCTTTTCTATAGGAGATAGACAAAAACTAATATCGGTGTCTAGAGCTCAATTTTTGTCAAAAATATGATGGTGAAAACCGCATATCGATATCTGTTACCGTTTCGGAGTTACGGGGTGTTTTTCAAAAATATGCATTTTTAACAAATCGCTGTAACTTTTTTGCTATGGAAAATTTTGTATCTTTATGAAAACATTTCCAAAGCACCTTTTTACGTAGAATTTAATCGTTTAAGTATATTTTTTTTTAAATTAATAATTTAAGAACTATCAACAAAAATTTTGATTTTTTATATGGGACACCCTGTATATTTTAATTTATTGAAAATAATTTAAAATTACCTTTCGAAAAAATATAACACACTTGATATTTTGCTCGATTCCACTACGAGATATAGAGTATATAAAAATTCGCCCGCTTTAAATAAGTAGGCTTTGAACGGCACCGGCTGTAATGCAAAAAAATTCTAGCTGTGGGCATCAATTAAAACGAAAATAATATTTGCTATGAGAGATGCAGAATTTTATAACAATTTAAAATATATTTAACCAACATCAACACACATAAACTATATCTAATAACAATAAAAATAAATAGCAAACCAAGACATGAGATCTTGCTACAGGTGTTCAACATATCAACCGTCTTCTGTTAGGGACAGACGGGACAGTTTTTGAACATTTCTCGCGGAATTCATTAACTCAGTGGTGGGGGTGAAAGATACCCTCTCATAACTGTTAAGTATTTCTAATTCTTGTCTAGATTATACGGAAGAATATGGAACCTTTATTCTTCCGCAAATATATCCATAGGATTAGATCCATGGGCACTAAGTCAGGCGGCCTCGACGGCCAACGGCTGGGATCTTGGTTAGCTATTCAATTATTCTTGAAATTGGCTGCAAAAATTTGCTGATAACTTCAGAGTTCAGAGCCGGTGCGTCGTCTTGCTGGAAAAATATGTTTTCGAGTTCTATTAACGGCATATCATCAATAAGGGGTCCAAAGCCTACTAGTTAAAAGTGGCGAACTTTTAAAAACTCTGTATTTCGAAGGGGGTTATAACAAAATATCAAGTGTGCTATATTTTTGGAAAGGTAATTTTAAATTATTTTCAGTTAATTAAAAATATAGAGGGTGTCCCAAATAAAAAATCAATTTTTCTGTTCATAACTCTTAAACTATTAATTTTAAAAAAATTATACTTAAACCATTAAATTCTACGTAAAAAGGTGCTTTGGAAATTTTTTCATAGAAATACAAAATTTTCCAAAGCAAAAAAGTTACAGCGATTTGTTAAAAATGCACATTTTTGAAAAACACCCCGTAACTCTGAAACGGTTACAGATATTGATGTGCGGTTTTTACCATCATGTTTTTGATGAAAATTGAGCTCCAGACAGCGATATTAGTTTTTGTCTATCTCCTATAGAAAAGGGTGTTTCCATTTAAAAGCGTCGAATTTGACCCACCCTGTACATCCTATGTGCGTATTATAAGGACATTATTAAAGTAGGACATAATGTACGTCCGAAAAACGTACACAAAAATACAGATTACATCCAGAGCATGTATTACGTATAGGGATGGGTAAATTTCATTTTTCACCTTATGTTAAAATTTCATAATGATATTTTCACTGAAAGATTGAAATTTTGGAAATTTCAGTGAAAATTCGACACCTGTAATTTTTAACCAATCAAAACATGTTTTTTTCACAAATCACCATGGCAACGGATAAATTTTAGTGAAAATGTTTTTCTTGTAGGCACCCAACAGCAAATTATCCTGGAAATTTTATGACGTTTATAATGACAGAATATCTTTTTGAGAGTCTGGTTTTTATTTGTTTACATGATAATTTTGATACATTTCAATTACAAAGCTGAGATGTTTTCTATATTCTTTGGACACCTCCTTTCTTCTTAATGGCGAAAATCTAGGACTTGGAATGGACTGAATTCCATGAATATCCATGAATATTTTTAGAAAATTATCCCTCGTCTTCGCCTCGGGATAATTTTCAAAATATTCATGAGCTCGAAAAAATTTCCGGAAATATTTGACTTCTAGTGGTATTACTAGTGAAAATTTCAAAATTTCAAATTTTCAGTGAAATTTTCATAAATTTCCTGAAATATTGACAATTAAATATTTCACCTTGGAAATTTCATTGAAATTTCATGCAAAAATTACAATTTTGTTTTAAAATTACAAAAATGTTTTTCTAAACGAATTGCACTTTTGTAATGAATTTCACTACAAAAATGCACTTTACTTTTTTGGTATTATTTTGATATTTAGAGAAATATTTCCAAATACTATTTTTGGGCTTAACCATTATTTCTTTAAAAATTGGAATCAACACAGAAAAACAGGTCACAGAATAACCTTTATGAAATGTGAAACACAAAAAATGCACAAAAATAACAAATCTAATAACACATCAACATTTTCAACGAAAATCATAACCTCTATCTACCTACATTTACTGCGGTTTTTCATTTGTCAATGCCATGCGCCGGTCCTCTTCAGACGCGCAAGTAAATCGAGCAAATCAACGATCGATACTTACGTCGATACGGTCGACATACGAACACGATAAAGGAGTTCGCGAGGTTTATGAAAATTTCACTTGAAATTTCACCTGTAAGTTGAAATTTCACGATACATTTCTGGAAATTTCACCTCTATGCTGAAAAATTCGAATTGAAACTTTCACTTGAAATTTCAATGAAATTTCACCTTTTTAAAATATGAAAATTTCACATTGGAAAAGTTGTCGACATGAAAATTTCATTTAAAATTTTCAAGTGGCACAACCCTAATTACGTACATACATTTTCCACAAAAATATATATTTGGTGTATGTACAGGGTGGTCGAAATTAGTCTGTTTTACCAGAGAAAACCTATTTCCCGACTAGATAGAGCAAAACCGACATAGATGTCATGGGCTCGATTTCAGAGACATGTTTATAGTGTGACCAACGGATCTGTAGCTACGGGGTATCGGCAGGGGAATGCAGTTGTAAACAAAACACGCCCAATTTCATTCATAAAATAGGCATGGGCGTACGGTGTTATATGAAAATAATGTGTATCATAAATATAATACTCAGATTAATAATTTTTTTCAAAAAACTTTATGCTGTTTGAATCGTTACTGTTTGTTAGCAGATAAACACTAAAAGCTTTTATTAAAACTCCCTTAAATATTTTGAATCATTTTATTATTGTGTTGTTAATATAATAGAAGAAATAATTACAGCTGGGGGTTGGAACCTTTGGTGTTACACAGCAAAATAAAACACTAAATCAGTACAATACACCAAAACACTTTTAATTTTACACTGGACGCATGTTTCGCTAACCATGTCTGCCATCAGCAGATGATCAAGACTGAGTCTTGAGGTATATTTATTTATATATCTGTACTAACTATATTTTTTTCTATAATACATAATTTTAGATATAACTATTTCCAGCAAAAAAATCTTGAAAATAGTTAACTTTGGAAGCGCAAACATATAATTTTACTCACCAGTAGATCCAATATTATATATATATTATACCTATTATTATATATACCTATTACACCAGATATTGTATCGCTCCGCCAGCAGTTTTTAAAGGTTAGGTCATTGTCTACCCATATGTTTCATCCAAATAGATAATACTTGGCTATATTTTTGAATTTCGCGTATATATTTATATCTCTCTCTGCAATATAATGGGCCGCTCCATTAATATTTATCTGTTATTTTGACATTTACGCCAAAAAAATTCATTTGATTTTAATAATCCCCTAAGCGTTTCCCTGCAAAGGAAAATTCGATTCTTCCTGCAATTTTTGCAAAAGCTTTCTAATTGTGGGGACGAGTTTGAATTCGAGATAAAATCTATTTATCAAATTCCTGACCACACAGCAGTCTCACGTGGTCGTTTCTTTCCAGAGCTTGATATCATTTTATCGGGGTTAGTTTTCAGCCTTTTTTTTATCTTCTGTGTGAATTTTTTTATAGCCGATACGCTAACTCCGGTATTAAAAAATATCCGCTCAAGTTTACGTTTAAGCGGCAACTAAAGCGAGGCTTTCTGTAGGCTTCTTCATCGCAAACCCTATTATGAACAGAAGGAAATAAACCAAATGAGATTTCATCCACGTTATTATTAACTTACCTATATAAATTAGCTATTATTTCTCTTGTCTGACTATGTAGCGTCTTACCCTTAACAAATTTATTCATTTTAAAACACAAATATACGATCAAACTTGATATTAATAATTAAAAACTACGAACGAAAAACATTATAACAAGATAACAAAATAATAAAACACAACTTAACTATCAAATATACGAAAAATATAGGAACAAAGTTTAGGATAACCGGTATAAAATAATGAAATAAAGTAATAATGATCAAAAAAATTACACCGCCACTGTATTCAATATTAGTATATATCAGTATTCAATATTCCTACTCTTTTCAGAAGAGACCGTGAAGTTGGGGATAAAGCAAGCGAATAGGAAAGGCGTAAAAGCCATGGCAACCGCGTGGTAACAAATCCTGTGACGTACTCTGGCCAATCATGTTCGACGAATAGGCGGCCATGCGCGGCGATGCCGGTTTGCTAATGATATCGTTGAAAAATCTTCAACTTTCATAATAAGCAGATTATACAGATTCAATGAAATTTCACTTTTTTAAAATATGAAAATTTCACATTGGAAAAGTTGTCGACATGAAAATTTCATTTAAAATTTTCAAGTGGCACAACCCTAATTACGTACATACATTTTCCACAAAAATATATATTTGGCGTATCTACAGGGTGGTCGAAATTAGTCTGTTTTATCAGAGAAAACCTATTTCCTGACTAGATAGAGCAAAACCGACATAGATGTCATGGGCTCGATTTCAGAGACATGTTTAATGGCGTAAACCGCCTGTTGATATTTTCACTGCCAACAGAGATACGGGGTCTTTTTGATTTTTTTAAATATTTTGAAAATTGCCCATAACTTTTTTATTTCGCGCAATAATAAAATTTTTGTAAAAACGTTCTTAAGGCACTTTTTTAAACACAATCCAGTGGCGTAGTCAGTTTTCTTCTATGCTTGCTCTTTTTGTCAGAAATAATAAAAAATATAATTTTTTAAATGGAAATGCTAGTTGGCTATGAACTTAAAAAAATGCTGGCGTTTAACCCTTTCCAACCATATAAACTTATGTGTATTTATTTCTAAGAATGAGAGAAATATGAGGGTTTTTATCTTTATATTGCGGGCTTTGATTTTGATTTGACCTATTTGCTTAATTATTTTTTATCACAATTTAATATTCTATATTATTATTTATCTGCATAATTAAATACTTTTGAAAAGGTAAATTAACATTATAATATTATTAGTAATAGTAATTATTAGTATTAGTAATTACAAATGAAGTCAATACAATAAACAAAGAACAAAACTAAAAAAACGTTTTTTGGGTGACGAATATAGTTTTCTAAAAAAATCAAAGATGTTCAAATTGAGCACCTCCTTGTTGAATACACAATAAACATCTGTTGCGCACAGAGCTACAACGATTTATTAGGCGAACTGGTTTAATAAGTCCAAAAGCTTGCCTAGTAGCCTTCTGAAATTTCTTCTCTTGTCCCAATGGTTCTTCCCTTATACAGGGTGTCTCAGATTTTAATCGGGAAAATTTAATAGACCATAGAACTTGCAAAAATAAAACAAAAAGTTCATATCAACTTGTAAGATTTAAAGCTTCCTTTTCGAGATACAGGGTGTTAAAGTTACTTAAAAAAGAAAAAAAAATTAAGATATTTGAAAAACTATTTAATCGATTTTGATATAACTTGACCCGTTTATAATACTTACTATGGGACTTAATTTGATGTAATTAGATTTAAGTTTAATGGCCAGGGGCGGCGGTGGGACATCACTGTTAAATTATTTTAAAGGAAAAAATAGGCACGCCACTGCTTTTTTAGAAGTTTAATATTATTTTTGGATTTAGTAATTAAATATATTATTTTTTTGTCTCCTGACTTTTTTATCTATAACCTAACCATGATATTTAATTTATTGTCCAGGGTGGAGTGAATAAATGAATTTAATTTTTTTCGCAAGTAAGCAAGATAGACAAAAAAGTCTGGAGACAAAAAAATTATATTTTTAATTACTAAATCCAAAAATAATATTAAACTTCTAAAAAAGCAGTGGCGTGTCTATTTTTTCCTTTAAAATAATTTAACAGTGATGCCCCACCGCCGCCCCTGGCTATTAAACTTAAATCGAATTACATCAAATTAAGTCCCATAGTAAGTATTATAAACGGATCAAGTTATAGCAAAATCGATTAAATAGTTTCTCAAATATCTTATTTTTTTTTTCTTTTTTAAGTAACTTTAACACCCTGTATCTCAAAAAGGAAGCTTTAAATCTCACAAGTTGATATAAACTTTTTGTTTTATTTTTGCAAGTTCTATCGTCTATTAAATTTTCCAGATTAAAATCTGAGACACCCTGTATATAAGGTCTTTTAATTTCCCCCATAAAAAAGTCGAAAGGAGTTAAATCACAGGACCTAGGAGGCCAAGATATGGGCCTCTTGTTTCAACCCAATTCTCTCTAAATTCTCCATTTAATAGTTCAGTTGTAACCTTAGCGTTTTAATTGTAATTGGTAATAGGTACTAATTTAGAATGTTGATTTACCTTTTCAAAAGTTTTTAATTATGTAGATAAATAATAATATAGAATATTAAATTGGGATAAAAAATAATTAGGCAACTAGGTCAACGCAAAATTAAGGTCCGCTTCGATACAAAGATAAAAAATATAATATTTCTCTCATTCTTAGAAATAAATACACATAAGTTTATATGGTTGGAAAGGGTTAAAAGCCAGCATTTTTTTAAGTTCATAGCCAACTATGATTTCCATTTAAAAAATTATATTTTTTATTATTTCTGACAAAAAGAGCATGTATAGAAAAAAAACTGACTACGCCACTGGATTGTGCTTAAAAAAGTGCCTTAAGAACGTTTTTACAGAATTTTATTATTCCGCGAAATACAAAAGTTATGGGCAATTTTCCAAATGGTAAAAAATTCAAAAAGACCCCGTATCTCGGATGGAAAGTGAAAATATCAACAGGCGGTTTACGCCATTAAACGTGTCTCAGAAATCGAGCCCATGACATCTAAGTCGGTTTTGCTCTATCCAGTCAGGAAATAGGTTTTCTCTGTTAAAACAGACCAATTTCGACCACCCGGTACAATCATTATTGTTCTCGACTACGCCTCGGCCGCAAATTTCAGATTCGGCCAAAAAAACAAAAAAGATCAACTTTACGGTCTTGGTACACAAATAACGATTTTAACCCTGGTTTTAGCTATGGTTATAAATGGAGCCAAGAAGAGGCTAAGAAAAACTTACTTAGAACTCATACGACAGCTGTCAGTGCCAGAATGTTGTATAAATTGGGTCAAGAGAAACAGTTCCGACCAGTGAAATGGTTCAGTATTGATAAAGTAAGTATTATTTAAAATTATCCAGTTAATAATGTGAAGAATAATTCGTTCTTTTGAAAAACTTTTACAGATATCTATCGTTTTCACAAGTGTTTATGACATAATATGATAATTAATCAATAACATATCGTCTGTTTAATGGCCGACCTAAGCATAGAAAATCCCATGCAAATTATACAATATGATCGAAAAAAAAACGGCATCGGTGATGGCTATGAAATGAAGATCGTTTTATATGTAAAACTAAATGACGAATGTCATCGATCGTCATTTCCAAGCCATCTGGATGCCGTTTTTTTCGATAATATGGTACAAACGATAAATAAAAGTTCCCCATTTTATTTGTCAGAAAAGTATATTTGAAACTTTCTAAAGAACTTATTAAAATGGAGCAGATTGTTCATTTCCATAGCTTCTACAAATTCCTTTTGGACTGATAGTTTTGGATTAAAAGAAGAAGATAATAAAATATCGAATTAATCGAAAAAATAACCCCAACTCTGATTAGATAACGAACATACCACCTTCAAATTCAGTTTTTTTTAAAGTCAAATTGACGTTATTGTTGAGAAAAATGACTTCAAAAAACTTAAAACATCATTTTTTTAATCTCATATTGACTTTATACGTGCCAAAAATAATTTGTAAATATGAATTATGCAACTGAAGAAACACATTTTATAGTTAAGTAGTATTATGGAGGAATTAATCTGCAGGATTCTTTGAATAAGAAGACTAAGGAAGGAGCATAATGCTATCCATGTATCCGTGCATGGTGGGCGGAAAAAGCACTCTAGGGTGGGGATCCTTGACAGTTCTGTTTGACGATTCATTTGACACATTTGAATTTGATTTGAAATTTTGTGGATTTGTCAGTCTTTACGGAGCTTATTTTATGTTATTTATTATTTATTCTACTACTGATAGTTGTATAAAGGTAGTAAATCTAGATGGAAATTATGGCAGAACTTAAATTAACAGTGACACTATCGCGATTTATCGAAAAAGACTCTAAAATAGTTGGTTGTGTAGCGTGCGGTAGATCTCGGCAAAAATTGAGTGAAATAATGGAACAACTTTTCGCTAGTAAGTGACTATATAATATACATACGTGTAGTAAACCGATCATTTATGAAATTCACTTAAATCAACTAAATTATATATTTTTCTTGCATTTTAGCTTTTATTTATTACTTGTCAAAGATTAGATGTCAAAGAATTTAGATACCTTAATTTGACTTACCTGCTTCAGTAGCGTATCGGATGTTTGTGTTAATAAATACTTATTATAACTTATCATTTTTATTAGAATTATATATTTTTATAACAATTTTAATAACTACCAACATTTATTCACAACGTAAAATAAAACAACAAATTATTGAGTCTACCCTACATCATAGTTTTACATTTTTTAAATAAAATTAGAACGACACTGATAAACCGGAATTTAAGTCGGCCATATTTGAGGCCCATCGCGGTGTACCTAAGATTTTTGATATGCTCCTTCCTTAGTCTTCTTATTCAAAGGCAGGATTCGATATTTGATGACATCAATCGTCATTTCAGATGAACTGGTCACACCATTTTTTCAATCACAGGGTGCCTGTTCAGGTGGCGTTGGTTATTGTAGCCCTATTTTTAATTATATATTTTATTATTATTATTATATTTATTTATTTTAAGGTATTTAGAAACGAAACTCTGGATGCCACTCACCTGGCTGAATTCCATCAAGTAGAGGGCGTTATTGCTGATCATAATTTAACTTTGGGCGACTTAATTGGAATTATTAGTGAATTCTTTAAAAAATTAGGTAAGTCCGAAAATAATTGGTAGTACAGGGGTGCACACATTTATTAAAGTTGTGGAGTTTTGCCTGAATCGATGCATTCTAGTTTTATAAATAACAAAAACAATTGTGTGTGCACTATGAGCGCATATTTGTGAAACTTCTTACTAACATCTATTAAATTGAAAGATTTGAAGGATATATACATAGACTTAAAATAAAATATAGACTACACTATTTACATCTCAACGCGGACAGACAATATTTTTTGTACAAATGTTTACTTCTGGGTACAGTCGACCGAGCCTTCCTCATTCAGCCTATGTTGTCACGTCTTTAATATTATCAATATTTTTTTTCTTGTTATACACATATATTGAGATATTAATACTACAGTTTAATAAAGTAGGTTTTAATATTCCATAGATGTATTAAATAGTCCTTATACTACTAAATTATAAGTCGGATACTTTTTAAAAAAGATAAGTTCTTTACAATATGACAACACCGATTAGAGGCGAGGGAGCCTATTCATTCATTTATTACCTTGTAGTACGTGTCGCACGTGTGCTGTAAAGCTTTGTTGCCGCTATCTCCCCGGCTGTATTAACGCATTTTCTTAGCTTGTAGTCCTTAAGTGTTTATTTTATTGACTTTTTCTGTTCAAAAACTATAAAATATGGTTCGCCAGTGCCAAATTTGCAAGAAATTTGACTTAAATAATCCATTTAAGTCTTGAAACGACTTTTGACCGGTAGGCAACTCTCAATTTACCCATTGGGAGTCAGTGGCGTTGTTGTAGAAAGGCGCTTATTTAGGTAATATTTTAGTAAAATGTAAAATCTGAATTTTTTCTCTTACATTACATTATTTACTTACTTACATTGTAACAAAATCATAATTATAACCCTGTTAATAATTAATAATGTTTTTATTAAAAATATATTCCGGTTTATTCTAAAATTATCTGCAGAATCTAAAATAACATACAAGAATTTTAAAATGATATTACATTATGAAACAATATTTTTTAATATACCGGGTCGTCTCAAAAGTGGCTCACCCCCTATAACTTTTTTATTTTTTCAGATAAAAAAAACAGATTTGTATGTTAGTAGGTATATGACATAAATTAGGATTTATTGACGTATTCAATTGTTTTTGGTCTCTTCCTGTTTCACCGAAATGATTACATCTTTTGATTTTTAAAGGCACCCTCGGTATATTGCTACTTTATTCGATAAAAAATGATACTCTGAATAGAATGACATATCCTATATAATAAAACAAATCCTATTTTAAATTTCAATCCAGGGTGCCATTGTGTTGTTAAAAACACTAAGTTTTAATCAAGGAGCCTTGGAAAAATAATTTTGATCGTCTGATGGGTTTCGTGTCTTGTCTAGGCCGGTTAAAAGATGTACAAATCGTATTTTTAATAATACATATGTGAATTTTTTCAAATGGAACAAGGGTGACTCGTTAGCATATTTGGAAAAAGCATTTTTTCATGAATATATTGATACCACACACTTGGTATTTCGAGTCAAATTGTCGTTATGAACCACGTGTTACAATTACAATTAAACAATAGGCGAAAATGTCAAAAGTTGGCATATGATATGTCATTCTATTCAGAGTGTCATTTTCTATCGAATAAAGTAGAAATATACCAAGGGTACCATTTAAAAATTAAAAGTTATATTCATTTCCGGTGAAACAGGAAGTGACCAAAAACAATTGAATGCGTCAATCAATCCTAATTTATGTCATGTACTAACATACTAAATCTTGTTTTTTTATTTGAAGATATAAAAAAATTATGGGGATGAGCCACTTTTGGGACGCACCCGGTATAATAAAGACATCACTTAAGCAGAAAAAAAATTACAACAATCATATTTGTTTTTCTCTCCCTGTCGCCGATTATTATTATTATATCTGTAGAATAGATCCTGTTTTGATTAATATTAGGGGTTGTAAATGTTTGACTAAAATTAATAATCTATTATTAATTTCAAAAATTACGTAATTTCGATTATAAAATTTCTTCTATAACGTGTATTTTATTATTTTTATCCTTTTGGACTCTAAGACGTTTTTTCTACACTTTTTTTTTTATTTAAAAAACCTGTCCTAAATCTTAATAAAATATAAAAAAATTTAAATACGATATATTTTTAATTTAATTATTGCTTCATTAAAATAAAAAAATTACACGGCTGTGATACGGAGAGTTCAGGTGTACTTGAGAAACGAAAGACAGTGTTGTGTTTCTCGGCAGAGTGGTCAGGGAACGACCGTTACGACAGAGACAACCTATCTATCGCTCGTGTCGCACTCGTTATAACCTAAAACAATAACACAACAATAACAAGACATTGTCTGACCGCATGTTCCAGCTATTTATGAATGAGATGCTCAGTCTATATTTTATTTTAAGTCTATGGATATATATTTTTTTATGAATGCTTTTTATAAACTTCAAAAATATTAAAGTTAATATAAAACCGTATACTATTCTAGCTTTATAATTTTATGTCTTTTTATTTTTACTAAAAAACGATAATTCTACCACTCGGCCAGATAGCCTGGCAGCTGTGGCCATTAAACCAAAATACTACATCTATATCTCTGACTACTACTAACTGCTACTAACCAACAATTTGTTTTGTGTGGTCTGTTTTAGTTTAAATGTTTTGTTCATTATTCATGTTAGGGATTTATTTTTAAATTAATGTTAATCATAAGGCAAACTCATAGAATATGTATTTCTTTTGCATAATCAAAATTATCACTCTAAATTTTACATAACTAAATTGTCACTCTAAATCGCTGTCTTTTTTAGACAGATGTCACTTGTCTTGTCATTATTTAATTCATTATTCGAATTCTCAGAATGTTGTTAACAAAAGTTTCATCTTTGAATAAGAAGATTAAGGAAGGAGCATAATGCTATCCATGTATTCATGCATGGTGATCGGAAAAGGGACTCTAGGGCAAGGATACTATAGAGATAAGGATAGTTCGATTCCTATCTTCCTGCACTGTCAGCTTTTTTACGTCATCTACTGACCGAGTTGAAGTTGGCGCTAAAAATGTTAGACAGTGACAGAAGCGGGACAAAAGCGTTTGGTTAGAAATAAGCCAAAAAATGTGTACTGATAAGAATAAATAGTAGACATTCCAATTGATACAAAAATGCAAGAATATTCTTTGTATTTCGATACATTTTTATCAACCAAATTTGGTCGTTTTCTGCTCAGCAAGGCAGAGATCATACGAAAACAAAATATTTACAAGTGCTTATACATTTTATTAGAAAGCCAAATTATGTTGAAGATTGCCATAGGTATGTACTTTTCTACTGTACGTATATTATTTGTTAAAATCCTTCGTGCCTTTGTTCTGCAGATATCAAACTTTCACTTTTTTTTTCGATATTGAATGATGTAGATCTTTTGAGTTACCAATAGTTACCAACACAGGTAGTCACAGTCACAGGGTGTTCAAGCTTAACAGGTGAATGCCCAAAAAGATTCATTTCAATCGGATAGTATAAAAACAAAACAACTCCATCAAAAGGCACTGAGTTTAAAAAATTTTCTTAGATACTTACTATATATGAATTTACAATTACCGAGTGTTAAAATTAAAATTAAAATATCTATCTTATTTATTGTTTTCAAAATAAAATATATTTTTTTAAAATAAATTATAGAGGGTGTCACAAGATTACAAATTAATTAAAAAAAAAACTGCTAAAGAGATTTTTGATATCATAATTTTATATATTTGGCAATAGTTTACAATATGGTTTTTGTGTGTCATGTACGAATAATATCATAGTTTTATTATCTTGTATTTAATTATTAATAAATTAAGTTGTTAATAAATAAATAAATTTAACCATATAGTTGCTATATATTAGACCATTTGCTACGTTCTTAGATTTTAAGTCCCAAACATTGCTCTTGATATTTTGTCCCGCTAGAATAACCATCCGCCGCACTGTGGAGCGCTGGTCAGCGCGTGACGTAGCATTCCACGGCGACTACGACAGCGGCGATTTGACGCGATCGAACAGTCCTTTAGAATATATACAGTCCTTGACTCTAGGGTGGGGATCCTTGACAGTTCTGTTTGACGATTCATTTGACACATTTGAATTTGACTTGAAATTTTGTGGATTTGTCAGTCTTTACTGAGCTTATTTTATGTTATTTATTAGTTATTCTACTACTGATAGCTGTATAAAGGTAGTAAATCAAGAAGGAAATTGTGGCAGAACTTAAATTAACAGTTACACTATTGCGATTTATCGAAAAAGACTGTAAAATAGTTGTGTAGCGTGCGGTAGATCTCGGTCAAAAAAAGACTGAAATAATGGAATAACTTTTCGCTAGTAAGCGACTATATAATATACATATACTACGTGTAGTAAACCGATCATTTATGAAATTCACTTAAATTAACTAATTATATATTTTTTCTTGCATTTTTGCTTTTAGTTACTACTTGTCAAAGATTAGATGTCAAAGAATTTAGATACGTCAATTTGACTGCTTCAGTAGCGTATCGGATGTTTGTGTTAATAAAACATTATTATAACTTATCTATTTTTATTAAAATTATATATTTTTATAACAATTTTAATAACTACCAACATTTATTCAAAACGTCAAATAAAACAACAAATTATTGAGTCCACCCCACGTCTATCCTACATCATAGTTTTACACTTTTTAAATAAAATTAGAAAGGCCTTGATAAACCGGAATTTAAGTCGGCCATATTTGAGTCCCATCGCGGTGGACCTAAGATTTTTGATATACTTCTTCCCGAGCTCCTTCCTTAGTCTTTTTATTTAAACAGTTTCATCTTAAAATAAAATTTTAATCAATCACAATTATCTCTATCATTTACCGGATGAATAATACAGAAATAACAGTTCAATTACAAACAATTCATTATTTATAGTGATTTACAGTAATTTTATTAAATTATACGAATATTCTCGTTGAATATTGGTTTTAAATAAATATGACAGTGTCCTCCAATGAAAATGCAAGTTGTAGAATGTAGAATGTTTAGAAGGGGAGTTAATCACCGCGACCTTATAGATCTATTGTGTGTTCCCCTTTCTTGAGTTATAACGAGTTATAACTCATCATACAGTCTCAGGGCTTTAAGAAAAGCCAGTATCTGAGACGGCTCCACAAAGGCCAGCTCTCCATCCTCGACATCAGACGTACCAAGGTTCATGGCACGAATGGTCGCCGTCTCGGCGCACTCAGTGATAAGGTGTTCTGGTGTTTCCCCATTTTCCCCACAAAATCTGCATTCGCCGTTGTTTCTCAGTTTCAGCCTACTGAGGTGTTCGTTGAGGAGACAGTGTCCTGTTAGAAACCCCGTGACAATCCAAAGATTGTTTTTACTTAAATCAAGGAAAACCTTTGATTTTTCTCGGTCATAAGTTCTAAGGAACTTTTTCGAGTGTCTTAGACCGTTGGAGGACACCCATTCCAAGTTACGGATGGAGTCTTCCAGATTCTTCAGTTCCGCTTTCAGTTGGTTCCCGTTTGGAAAACAGAACGGTTCTGGTCCAGTTAGTGGAGTGTTCGCTCCTTTCCTAGCTAGATCATTTGCTTTTTCATTGCCTTCTATCCCTTGGTGAGCAGGCACCCAGAGTAGGAGGATTTTATTTTCTTTAAATAAAATGCAAGTTACTAACTAATTCTCTAAATTCTAATTCTGAGCTGGCAAATGATCTAAATACTTTACCTAGACCGTTATTCAGAAGCTACAAACCTATCTATGAAAATTTACTTCCTAGCACACAAGGTTGGTACAATATCGTGACCGAGCGTCACGGTTTTGAAGCTGTACTTCCAACGGGCGTAAAGAAGTTTTACTTTAAAAATAATAATTTAAATAGCGTTTTTAAATTACAGTTTATTCTGTCTGATTAGAGGTGTGTAGTTCGTGAACGAACTAGTTCCAATGAACTATTCCGACCGCGGAATGAAAGGAACTAGTTCCTCAGGACCTATTCCGGGATCGAGACTGTGGCCGATATAATAATATGCGACGGCGACGGATCGGCCAGCGCGCGTAGCCCGATGGTAGGCAGAAGTGGGGAGTGCTAGCCGTACGTTATCGGATCCGGACCTAGAGGAACTAAATAAAAGACTAGTTTCCGTGCGTACGGATCGGGCCAGCGCGATCGATGCTAGGCAGGAGTGGAGAGTGCCAGCCGTATGTTATCGGATCCGGAACTAGAGGAACTAAATAAAAGATTAGTTTACGTTTGGATCAGTCAGCGCGATTGATGCTGGGCAGGCGTGGGGAGTGCCAGCCGCATGTTATCGGATCCGGACATAGAGGAACTAATTAAAAGACTAGTTCACGGGAAGTTATTATACAAGGCGACGACGATGGATTCGGCCTTGTCTATTGTAATTTAATGGTAATTAAAATATTATATTGTGGTAATTACTATTGTAATTACCACAGAAAATTGTGAATACTGTTTTTGATTTATAGTTTGTTTTTTAAATATTTTATGGGAATGTTTCACTTTAGGTCCCTAAAATTAAGAAATATCTTATAAAACGAAGTAGATACTCTGAATTTTTAGACAAAAACAAAAAGCTTGAAGTGAGGAAAAATGCAATTTTTCGTAATATTTGCTCTAATTGATTTGTGATATAGTTTTTTAAACTCTGATTTGAGTTTCTTTTTTATTTTTTTTATCTGCAATAAAACTTACCTATATGTTTTTATACATACATTTACACGTCTCGTTATATCTCCGTACATTATAAAAATTATACAGATCATACTGTGAATAGTTCTGACTGACAACGAAACGCATTAGCAAGCAAGGGGGATGTCAATGTTAGTCGGGAACTATTGTGAACTAAAGACCTAGTCAAGGAACTATTCCTCTGGAGGAACTAGAACTAAGGAACTAGTTCCTCCCAAGGAACTAGAATTCCCACCTCTTTGTCTGATACTTCATTTGAATCTTTGAATCAAACGTTTAAATAAGTCATTTTATAATGTTCAGTAATCAGTCATTTTTGAAATAAACCAACAAGACTGGTTAAAAACAAGAGACGGCGCATGACGGATTTATGTATATACCCAATCCATAGTTAACTTAAAAACTTATAAACTTTTTTAGTGAAATAAATTAATTGGTATGGACGTCATCTGCCTTTTTTCTGTTATCGTCTGTCGAAATTTTACCTGAGTAATAAGACAGGGCATAATAGTTAAAAATGCAATGTAGGACAAACTCAGTAATTCGTTGGTTTTGTTTTGCCTGGTCAATATATATATTTTTTTTTTAATTTCAGGAATAACAGAGCTGGAATTCAAACCGGCATACAACCCGTACACGGAACCCAGTATGGAGATCTTTTGTTTCCATCCGGGACTGAAGAAATGGATCGAACTGGGGAATTCCGGTCTTTTCCGACCGGAAATGCTGCTTCCCATGGGCCTTCCGGATAACGTGAGGGTTATTGCGTGGGGTTTGTCATTGGAAAGGCCCACCATGATCAAGTACGGCTTCAATAACATTAGAGATTTGATTGGTCCAAAAGTCGATCTTGAAATGGTGCAGAAGAGTCCAATTTGTCGTCTAAATACATAAGAGAAGCTTTATCATTATTATTATTTATCTTTATCTATTTTTTTTCATAAATTAATATTTATATCAAAAATCATGTTCGAAAAAGAAATGTTATTGAAATTAATTTTGTCAAACTTTCTTTTGGGGTATTTATAATAATGTTAATTTTATTTTTTTGGTCCAACCATTGTATGTTATAGTTTGTTATGGGTAAGAATAAACTTTTTCTTGGACTAATTGTTTTATTTTACGTGTTTATTTTTATAATAGTGTCTAATTTTATAATAGCAGTTCTCGACGACCGAATTGTAAATACCCGGTATTTACAGAGGATACTAACCAAATATGAAATACCATTTAGTTTTTGTGTTATACCGGGTGCGTCTAAAAAGTGGCTTTTTAAATCTTAAATTTCAATCTAGAGTGCCACGGCTGTGTTACAAAACACTAATGTTTATTCAAGGAGCCTTGGAAAAATAGATTTGATCGTCTAATGTTTTTAGTGTAATTATAATTCAATTTTCTCAAATGGAACGAGGGTGGTTCATTAGCATATTAGAAAAAAGCATTTTTTACCAATAATTTGGTACCACATACTTGGTATTTTGAGTTAAACTGTCGTTATGAATCGTATGTTGCAGTTTCCATATTCGAAATTGTCAAAGTTTGTGATATAATATGATATTAAATTCTAATCAGAGTGTCATTTTCTATCGAATAAAGTAACAAAATACCGAGGGTGCTATTTAAAAATCAAAATTTGTAGTCATTTCCAGTGAAACAGGAAGTGACCGAAAACAATTGAATACGTCAATCAGTTCTAATTTATGTCTTATGCTAACATACCAAATCTCGACTTTTTATCTGAAAAAATAAAAAAGTTATAGGGGTGAGCCATTTTTGAGACACACCCGATATATACCTTTTGAGACACACTGAAAAAGGTATAGTAAATTAGTGATGCGAATACCGGTTCCACGTGAGTCGCGTTACAATAGCGACTGTTAACGTTAAAAATACCGCGACAAAATACCGTGATTTTGTAAACAAGGTTCAGACTTCCAAAGTGATACGGTCTTCGCTAAAAATATATCCAACTTATCTATATTTGTAGATTAATGTAACTTTTATCCGCCACTCATTTTCCAAATATCGAGTTTATAATTGTGTATAGCCAATCTATCTCATTTTTAGAAAAACGATGACATTCCTTGTTATTTTTTTTTTCTTTATCAATGTTCGTTTAAATAAAATGAACGGCTCATATTTATGTGTATTGCAATATAATATATTTAATGTTAAAATCAAGTACAAAGTCCAAACCACTGTCAAAAAAATTGTTTATTGGTCTAACCTAACCTTAAAAATATATTTAAACAATAAACTTATATAAATATATAGAAGCAAATTAAATATTTTTATTTTATTTTATTTGCCTTTGCGTGTCATCTTTTAAACGACACTATTTTATACCATGCCTAGTACATACCAAAATCCGCTATTTCGAAAGTAACGTAGCGACGGGAGCATCAACGCCAATAGTAACCGACCAAATCGCGACAGGCAAAACCGAAACCCTAGAAGCGCTCCAGCGACTGACTGCTGGAACGAAGTACGTGGCCACCGAGGTCGAGCGTTGATAATCAGTTACAGCAGTTACTTCTGTTCGCGACAGGGAACGGCTGGAGCGAACACGTCCCGATCGAGATCGCGCGGCACTACGGACATACCAGTTCCAGATACTACTGTTGGCGACCAACGAAATCGCGACGGCTGGAGGTAAACACGTCGCTATGCGGTTACTACGGTTCAAGCTAGGTAACTTCAAGTGCGATTATAAATAATTTATTGGCAAATTATAAATAATTTATAATTTTGTCGTCATTATAATCGTCGTTCTTCAGTAACAAGTTCCTGATTCGTTGTGGAGCGCGACACGACGTTACAAAAAAATACCGCTCCAAAATCGCGTTACTCAAATACCGACACATCACTATAATATATATATATATATATATATATATATATATATATATATATATATATATATATATATATATATATATATATATATATATATATATACTATATATATATATATATATATATATATATATATATATATATATATATATATATATATATAGTAAATGAAAATTTTTTATTATTAGTTATTATCAGTCATACAGTTGCACATAACTTAATAACTGTTTTCTGAGGATAATTTTTTCTCAAAAACAATTTGAACATAAAACGCACCTAAATATGAAACAGGTACCCAAATAGGACCACTATAAAACAAACCCTTCAAACTAATCAAAACGTATATCAGATTTTTTTTATTAAACACATTCATAAAAGACAAAAACAATCAGACATGTAATCAATGCATTGTTATAATTAATATACAATATCAGCAATCACGTATCAAATACTTACTTTCTGAGTACCATAAAGACGTTTCTCATAGCACTGAAAGAAAACACCATCAGAGCGACCACAAAACCCGTTTGAATGACAAGGCAAAACCTGCACGTGAGTATAATGACGGAAAGAGATAAAAAAAATCACCGTCATTTTTGCAATCAGGCATACTCGCGCGCGCTTCCGAGAAATGGCGGTATTCAATATTAGGGATACTATTCCATATTTGGTTACTTTCCTTTATACTGAGCGTATTGACCGTACTCGTACACATGAAAATCAACATCCAAGGCCAGAAATGCCAACCTGTATAGTGAACACAATAGTGAATATCATCAATTGACATTTTTAAGGTAAATTGACGTTTTTTTTAATTATGTGTTTTACCGTTAATATAATTATTTTTATTTTAATTTTATTTTTGAACTTTCTATCTATACTTTTCAAATTTGTATTTATAACGAAAACAAAATTTTTCATACAAATTTTTAATTGGCGCCTTCACCATTTTGTCCGGATAATTTTCTAGCACCGATTAAAGGAAAACTAAACTTAAATAATTTTTATTAATTAATATAAGTTCTTTTTAAATTATTATACCATTAAGAATATGTATCGAAACGTGATAAAAATCGGTTTGTAACAACATGCTTATTATGATAGACGCAGTTGCTTGGCAACCATCAGTCAACGTCAATGTACACAATTAAATCTATTGACAATTTATACCTCCAAAACTTGCCTTTTGACTTGCTCCAAGAGAAACAACAAAATAACTCTGTTACAAATAAAAAATGACTGAGAGCGCCAGCACTATAGAATATGAAAGTGAGAGAATTCTATATTTTATTAAATTGGTTAAAGCACAATTGTGTATTTTTAGATTTGGAGCAGAAATATGTAGAAATTAAGAGGAAATTCAAGAAAACCATTGAGAACAATGAAAAGCTCTCTAAAGAAAATTCACAGGTGAGTCATTTAAAAATAACATATTTTATTATTAGTTTTTACAATAATAATTTAGAGAAATACATTTTTTTCTAGTTATATTTTATTCTTACTTTTACAATAACACTTTAGACAAACTCATATTTTTGTGACAGGGGTTATTGTTTTAATAATAATAACAACCCTATACAATAATAATGCATTAGAACCATTGCCTGGAAACTTATATGGTGAAATTTTGATAAAACAATTTAGTACTCACTAAAAACACAGTACGTCGCTAGTGCTAGGAAAAATAATTTTTAGAGGTTACTAGTTTATTTGGTTGCCTGTGATATGCATATACAGGGTGTTTCCTAATTAATCTAAAAAATAAAAATCGTTAGAAAACGGCTTAAGGCGGGCTCTTAATAAGTATATTTATTTTTTCTCGGCAACCGTTTGATGAACAAGAAAAACTGAAAAGATCAATTTTGTTGAAAAAGGATGGCCAGTCAAGAAAAAATATATTTTCTTTAAAAAGCAGTAGTGTACCATTTATGTTAGCAAAATATCGATTTTTTTTAATTTTAACACCCTGTAGATCAGAAAGGAAGTACTTTAGACCCAATGGTTATATAAAAATTGTTTTAAGAAGACATGAGGAATCACACCACAATTTTTTAGACTAATTAGAAAAAACCCTGTATGTTGTCAACTTGACAATGATTGTTGATACATCAAAAAATACCTTTTCTGTGAAAAAAGCCCGATTTTCGCAGGAAAAATTTTGGTTTTTATTGAATTTGGGCCTGCGTCTGCAAATACCGGTATGTTTTTTAATATTCTATCTATCTAAATTTTAAATATCATAGTCAGAAATAGTTTTATTATTTATTAACTGTAAAAATGGTATACTTATAAGTTTTGTCAAATATTGTGATTTACATTCTACCTTGTAGTCAAAATTTATATTTAATAAATGTAAAATATATATATATATATATATATTCTTATGTTTTATTAAAGTTACTCTGATATACTAATATATCAGTGTAACTTTAAAACTAAATCCTTTGAAATCAAATATAAACATAAAAAATATTTACAGCAGAAAAGGCGAAGGCGCTGGGTTAAACGTAGTCTCTACTAAGAACACGGAGGGGCGCTTTGACCCAAAATTTTACTATTAAGTTTCATATCTATCTTAATAGAAGATTATTTTCTTTTATCTATGATTAGAACATATTTGATTTATTAAGCAATAATTGTTATCAATTTGTTTTATTACACAGTGTGTTATTATCACTGTTTTATCACACAATGCTTATTTTTTAAGTTAATTTTTATTTTTGGATCTACCCCGTGGAGATGAATATACACATTGCAGTGTTTCAAAAAATATGTGCCATCTCTCGGGGGGAGATTCCTCTCGTGAAAATAAGATTTAATTTTCATATTAACATGGCTCCGATTCTGCTTTGTTTTGTAGCTACTGGGGATTAAAGTCTTTACCTTTTTTCGATTTATTATAATTTTCTTCCAAGTGCTTTTAGCGATATGAATGAAATTTTGAGGGTATACAATATACCCTGGTACTGTATATTTATAAATTATATGATCTGGCTTGTCTTAAACTTCTCAAAAATATATATCACTCTATATTTATTTCCACTCTTTACTGCAATATTTAAATAAAGTTTTCAGTAATAAATAATTTTTAATAGTAGGCCATGATTTGATAATAAAAGGCACTAAAGAATTATTAAAAGTATACTGCTCTCTGTCTCTTGTTTTATTTAAGTACGCATGCTACAAAACGATTGGTTATCACACCCTATACATTACTTTTCAGAATTAATTCTTATGCTGAGTTTAAAGGTAAAGAAATAAGCTTCACTAAAAAGTTTTATTGCTTACTTAAATTTATACAGGGGTACCAAAAATTGATGGTCTATTTTAAATATTTATTTTACATAAAAACTTTTTTCGTTATTTCAAATACAACACCCTATATTTTTTTAAAAAAATCCAAGCAGATTCAAATGCTCTTTCAAACTATATTAGGGTTTCCTGTACCTATCTAGCTGAGATTTTGAATAAAGAGCAATTTTTGAATAAAATAGCAATCAAGAGGGCTAGTGTCGTCATGGCAAGTTTCTAGTGACAATTAGTAGCTATTTTCAAAGTCAAAATTAGTTTATGGACTTTATTTAAATTTTTACCAGTTTACTTTTATTTGTTACCCCTACAATACGTTAATAAATAATATTTATTAAATATGTATTTACTATCCTACCAAGAAAAACGAGGTAGTTCTTTGTTTTATTTTACGATGACTTGTAGATATGTGGATTTTCTATTAAAGATCCAATTACGGCAAATTCACTTTCTTCACTTCCAACCACAGGTTTCTGCCTAATAGTTTTTTTATAAACTACACTACCAACTCTGCGAAATAGGACAAGTAGTTTTTCAAAGGAACGCTTATCAGGAAGATTCCTATTTGGATATCTTTGAGCATAAGCTCTTGAAGCCAAGAAGCAATTTTCCTCACAAAATAAAATCACTAGTAACATATTCATTCGTTCCGCCAGCAGATACTGCTTTATTTTTCTTGATAAAATAAGGAATACTTACTTATTATACTATTGTCGGTAAATTTAAGTAAACTGTTATAAATCCAAATAATAATGTCCCTAAACTAATGTCGGTTTTGAAAATAGTTACTATCTAAAATTGCCATGGCGATACCAGCCATTTTATTGAAAAGTCGCTTTTTATTCAAAATATGAGATAGATGGGTATAGGAAACCCTAATATAATTTGAAATATCATTTGAATCTGTTACGATTTATTTAAAAAAATACAGGGTGTTGCATTTGAAATAACGAAGTTTTTATGTAAAATAAATCCTTCAAATAGATCAGCAATTTTTGGTACCACTGTATAAATTTAAGGAAGTAATAACATTTTTCAGCAAAGTTTATTTCTTTACCTTTAAACTCAGCCCAAGAATTAATCCTTAAAATAATGTACAGGGTGTTAATAATATATTCTATTGTAGCATGCATATTTAAATATCTTTAAATATGTCAAAAACCATTGATTTTAAACATATTTAATCTATATAATAAATGCCTTTTTTGGGCCCAAGAATCCAAAAATGAAATAAAATACCGGGTTTTCCATAAGAAAAAATATAACTTTGGTATGGATCTTAGTTTTGAAACACACTGTATATTTCAAAATAATTTTAAATTGTGCACATTGGCTCCCCACATATACCCATAAAATATTTTGTTTCTACATCTTTCCGTTTTCGTATAATCAACCGAGGCGTATGAGGTGCGCCACCCTGTATATGGTTAAAGATTAAGATAGTCAATTAATCTCGATATTACATAGGCATTTAGATTATTTAAGCTTTTTTTTATTTAACCAATCCGCAGTTAACCAAGAAGCTAAGTAGATTGGAACGGGACAATGCCCATTTGGAAAATCAAATTCGTAATATGGAAACGTCCAAGGACAATAGCGAATCTGAATCATCTGCTTCAACTGCTTTAGTCGAAAAAAAAGATGAGAATGTTGCAGTTCTAATTCAGTCAAAAAACCGACAGATATCAGATCTTTTAAACGACTTGGAAGTAAGTTATATTTTTCTTACATCTTACAATTTATTTACTTTATAACAACTACTTTTTATAATTTATTTATTAATTTTCTGCTACCTTTGATTTTTAGGAAGTAGAAAAAGAAAATCTATCTCTAAGAGAAAAATTAGTGGAAGTCAAAAACGAACTGAGTCAAGCCACTGAAGAGATATCTTCAATTTTAGAAGTAGTCAAGTCAAAGGAAGCTGCTCTTCAAGAGAAAAATGGTATTCTTAAAAAAGTTTATGCATCATTTTTTTTAATAACGTGTTGCTTGTTTCAGATGAATTGGAAAAAAGTTTATTGGAAATTGCAGGACTGCGTGAACTAGTTGAACATCATGAAATTGACAAGGTTAGGATAGAGAAGGAATTCAAACAATTTTCGTTGGAAATTAATGAAAAAATTGATCAGTGGAAGGTGAGACACAAATAGATAGAGATTTAAAATAACAATTAAAGTTTCAAGATAAGTTAACGTTTCCTTTTTGCTGCTGGAGGTAATCTGGAAGGGACCTATTTTGTTTACGCGGAATTCGAACCACGGTCCTCATCCATATAATGCTCTACCGACTTAGCAAGAGTCTAATCAACTCTTACTCATGATATATCCGATCTTATTCGGTCTCTAACCGACGAGAATGAGCAGTGCGTCTCAATAGATTTTACACTCTTACTATGGAGCAACAGCTTTTATACTTTTACCATGGAAAAACAGCGCGACAAAGATTCCAGACGGTCACCTGCCCATCCATCCATATCGTCTAACGTCGCTTTGCTTTGGTGATTTATCGTGAACCGGTGTTTCGACGTAGCTAAGTCATTGATTAGGCCGTTTTTAAAATATCATCGAAGAATGTTGTAAAATTTAGTAAAACATGTATGGGGAAAGTGTAGATCATAAACAATAAGTTGTGTAACGTCCTTTTTTGGTCGAATTATAAAATAATTTTAAGAGGAAACGGTACATTTCCTGTAAAATCAAAGAGTTTAAAATAAGAAAGAATCTTGTAACGTTTTAGTAAAGAGTGAATTGGCAATAACAACTACTCTTAAAGAAAATGTAGATCAGAAACTGGCAAGTTGTGTAACGTTAATTTCATAGAGATACTGAATAATAAGTAACGATTTAAACGTTATTGATTAACAAATGTACTGCAAATAATACTATACAGGGTGGTCCGAATAGTATTCGAAAAACTTGGGCCGCATATTTTGCAGATAAAAATAAGTAAAAAGTTTGTATAAATTTATGTCCTAAAATCCTTCGTTTCGGAGATACAGGGTGTAGAAGTTTTATTTTTATTTTGGGGTTTTCCAGATGTTCTTCAGAATGTCTGAACTGTAGTCGATATTCGGATAGAAATTGGTATCGGGGTGTTTTTTGACATGATAAATTTGATTTCGATGTCAATATGACTCCTACTTGTAGGGGCCTATATTTCATATCAATTAAACTTTTAGTTGCGTAATCGAGGGCGCGATTTTTAAATTCATTGTCGCCAACCATGGAATATTCGGCGTTGTGCTGACTAACTGGAATTTAAATTTCGTGCTGGGGATTCAGGTAGTAGCTCTGCTGTAAGAGATGTCAAGTTGCCGCATTTATTTTTATATTTCCTGACATTGTCATTTGTTTTGACACTTAAGTTTTGTATTACGAATTTTTGGTTTAAATAAACAGTGTTGTGATACTTTAAGCTTGGAAAATGTTTACTAGCAGACCTTCCATTCGAATATTGTTTTTTAGAACCTCTTTTAGTGCAAAGTGTACAAGATAGCTCAATAACCGTAAAAAACTCATCGTGAGTTTATTAGAATATTTTGAACGGGAAAGCGGTAGTAATGGCCTTTTATGGCTCTTAAGTGCTGTTAAGAATGTGAGTTTTGTTGATGTAAATAACAAGTGTTTATATATTTATAATTAATTTATGTTTTGTTTCTTAAAATATTTTGAGTAAAACAAAATAAGATATAAAAGCGGACAACACTGTGCCGATCAAGCTTAATCACGTGACTAAAAGTTTATTTGGTATGAATTGTACAGGGTTATCATTTTAGTTTGACCCACTTTTAAAAGCTTATAACTTTTTTGTTTGTTGGGTTAAAGCTGTCATTCAAAAAACATGTTGTAGCAGTTTCAGCCAAGTTTTTGCGAGTGTTGTCAAAAATGACAGTAGGTGTCACATGTCAGATTTTTAAAACTAAAAAAAACTTTTTAAATGGGACACCCTGTATATTAGTAGCGCATTAGATAGTCCCCTTTTCTCCGAATTCAAAAATGAATCACACGTTTTTTCAATGAATGCTTTAACCCAACAAACAAAAAAGTTATAAGCTTTTAAAAGTGGGTCAAACTAAAATGATAACCCTGTACATGGTGGGTCAAATTCGAAGCTTTTAAATGGAAACACCCTTTTCTACAGGAGATAGACAAAATCTAATATCGGTGTCTGGAGCTCAATTTTTGTCAAAAACATGATTGTGAAAACCGCATATCGATATTTGTTACCGTTTCGGAGTTACAAAAATATTTTTCAAAAATATACATTTTTAAAAAATCGCTGTAACTTTTTTGCTATGGAAAATTTTGTATTTTTATGAAAACATTTCCAAAGCACCTTTTTACGTAGAATTTAATGGTTTAAGTATAATTTTTTTTAAATTAATAATTTAAGAATTATCAACAGAAAATTTGATTTTTTATATGGGACACCCTGTATATTTTTAATTTATTGAAAAGAATTTAAAATCACCTTTCCAAAAATATAACACACTTGATATTTTGCTCGATTCCTCTTCGAGATATAGAGTATATAAAAATTCGCCCGCTTTAAATAAGTAGGTTTTGAACGGCACCGGCTATAATGCAAAAATTCTAGCTGTGAGCATCAATTAAAACGAAAATAATATTTGCTATGAGAGATGCAGAATTTTATAATAATTTAAAATATATTTAACCAACATCAACACATTTAAACTATATCTCAAACAATAAAAATAAATAGCAAACCAAAACATGAGATTTTGCTACAGGTGTTCGACATATCGACCGTCTTCTGTTATGGACAGACGGGGCAGTTTTTGAACATTTCTCGCGGAATTCATAAACTCAGTGGTGGTGAAAGATTATAATTGCTAAGTATATTTAATTCTTGTCTAGATTATACGGAAGAATAATGAACTTTTATTCTTCCGCAAATATATCCATGGGATTAGATCCATGAGCACTAAGTCAGGCGGCCTCGACGGCCAACGGCTGGTATCTTGGTTGGCTATCCAATTATTCTTGAAATTGGCTGCAAAAGTTTGCTGATAACATCAGCGTTCAGAGGCGGTGTGTCGTTTTGCTGGAAAAATATGTTTTCGAGTTCCATTAAGGGCATATCATCAATAAGGGGTCCAAAGCCTACTAGTTAAAAGTGGCGAACTTTTAAAAATTCTGTATTTCGAAGGGGATTATAACAAAATATCAAGTGTGCTATATTTTTGGAAAGGTAATTTTAAATTCTTTTCAGTTAATTAAAAATATAGAGGGTGTCCCAAATAAAAATCAAATTTTCTGTTGATAACTCTTAAATTATTAATTAAAAAAAATTTTACTTAAACCATTAAATTCTACGTAAAAAGGTGCTTTAGAAATGTTTTCATAGAAATACAAAATTTTCCATAGCAAAAAAGTTACAGCGATTTGTTAAAAATGCACATTTTTGAAAAACACCCCGTAACTCCGAAACGGTAACAGATATTGATGTGTGGATTTCACCATCATGTTTTTGACAAAAATTGAGCTCCAGACACCGATATTAGTTTTCGTCTATCTCCTAGAGAAACGGGTGTTTCCATTTAAAAGCGTCGAATTTGACCCACCCTGTACATGTATTTTAAATGTTTTGAAAATTAATAACTTTTCGGTCAAATACCGCCCGTATTTCAGAAATTATTTGAAAAAAATCAAAATGAAATTAAAATGAAACTTCTACACCTTGTATCTCTGAAACTACGCATTTTAGGACATACATTTATACAAACTTTTTTTTATTTATTTTTATCTGTAGAATATGCTGCCGAAGTTATCCGACGATACAATTCGGACCACCCTGTATAGTTTTCTTTTTTTTTGAACTGTCTTCCTTCATATACAACATTTGGTGTTAGGTTCACAAAAAAATAGAGATTTGCATAAATAACCGTTTTTTGGTTGAATTTTAAAATAAATTCAAGGGAGATTGTTGCATTTTCTGTAAATTCATGGACTTTAAAAAAGCAAAGAATCTTGTAATAAATGTATTGCCAATAACCACGCTTGTAGAAACTGTGTATCACAAACTGACAAGTTGTGTAACGTTCATTTCATAAGAGAAATCAATAATAAATATCAAAACGTTATTGATCAAAAAATGTACTGAAAATAATGATATATAATTTTTGAACAATTGTCTCTTTTAATATACCTATAACATTTATATAATAAGATATTATATTGTTAATCACTGTTTAGCCTTTAAACAGCCTTTAAACTAGTTATAGGATTTGCGAAAAAAGTCGTTTTTATGTCGAATTTTAACATAATTTCAAAATAATGCTACATTTTCTTTAAAGACAAAGATTTCAAAATAACTTATCAAGCTTATAACGTTTTTTTAGGAAACGTATTAACTATAACAATTGCCAAATATAGCATCACCTCTTGTAATGATTAAAAATAATTAAATCTTAAGATTGCCATACCTTATATTCTAACAAAACTCGGTTAGCCTGATGATGGGGTAATTAGACTCCGAAACCAGATATTTGTTTGAAATAAATCTCTACCAGGTGCGTCTCAAAAGTGGCTCACTCCTATAACTTTTTTACTTTTTCAGATAGAAAAATAAGATTTGGTATTTTAGTATATAACAGAAATTAGGATTGATTGACGTATTCAATTGTTTTTGGTCACTTCCTGTTTCACCGGAAATGACTACAACTTTTGATTTTTAAATGGCACCCTCGGTATTTTTTTACTTTATTCGATAGAAAATGTCAGTCTGAATAGAATGACATATCATATGCCAACTTTTGACAATTTTGCATATGATTTATTTGAAATTATAACATGCGGTTCATAACAAAAATTTGACTCGAAATACCAAGTGTGTGGTATCAAATTATTCGTAAAAAAATGCTTTCTCCAAATATGCTAATGAGCCACCCTCGTTCCATTTGAAAAAATTTAGATATGATTGAAAATACGATTTGGGCATCTTTTAACCGGCCAGGACAAGACACTAAAAAGATTAAACTATCAAATCTATTTTTCCAAGGCCCCTTGATTATAAATTAGTGTTTTTAACATACCCATGGCACTCTAGATTGAAATTTAAAATACAATTTTTTATTAAGCGAGAATGCCAAAAGTTGACATATGATATGTCATTTCATTCAGAATGCCATGTTCTATCGAAAAAAGTAAAAATATAGCGAGGGCGCTATTTAAAAATCGAAAGTTGTAGTCATTTCCGGTGAAATCTAAAGTGACCAAAAAACAATAGAATACGTCAATCAATCCTAATTTAGGTCATATGCTCCTATACCAAGTCTCGTTCTTTTATCTGAAAAAATAAGAAAGTTATAGGGATGAGCTTTTGAGACGCACCCGGTATATAGTAAAAGAGTTTATAAAATAGAGTACCGTTCCTACTTTAATATTTTATTTAGGTTTGTTTTTATATGATATTTTATTATTATTTTTTTATTTCTAGGCTGTTTTAGATAAAAAGAATGCCGAAATCGCAGCTTTAAAAAACGAAAAACCTACAACAATACGCGATATTTCCTCGCCAGAAGATGGCGTTACTAGCGATATCCCATCAGCTAACATAGAATACTGTGAAAAACTGAGGACGGCCTTGCAAGAGGCCGAAACTCAGGTCGAACGACTCAAACTGGAAATGGAGGATTGTACGGCTGAATTGAAGGAAAGTGCCGAAGCTATTGTAAACCTGAAGATGGAAAATGAGAAAATGAAAAACGAAAAAGGTATTATTGATGAGGAAAATTCGAAATTGAAAGGACAGTTGAAAAAGTCTAGGGATAGATGCAAGAAGTTTCAAATTGAAGTGGACTATGCCAACAAAATATCGAATACTCTTGAATCGGAGGTAAGAAAAAGTTTCAATGTTATTTAAATGTAAAAAGAATATAATGGTTCTATTACTTTTAGTTTTCAGGCTCTATTTATTTCTCTAGGTTCTATAATAATTTATTGTTACGGTTATTATATAGTTACGCTCACGTTAAACGAGTGGCTATATAAAACAATTAATCTTGTTTATTAACCATAAACCACTTGATCTAGAAGCATAAAGTTGGGCGTAATAGATACTAAATTTTTAATAAAAAGTGTTATTTTTAGCTGAAAAAGATACAAGATACATTAAAAGAGGATGGACAGTTGGATTTTGCCGAAATTTTGAGTCAATCGCAATCAATAAAGGTGCAACTGTTAACTAGAGATAAACGCATTGCTGAAATGGTTCAGGATTTGAATACATTACAAGAATCTCATGATTATATTGAGATAGAAAATCGCCACCTCAAGTAAGATCAAATATACATGGTGGTCCGAACTGTATTCCGGAAACTTCATATAGCAGCATATTCTGCAGATAAAAATAAGTAAAAAAGTTTGTATAAATGCATGTCCTAAAATGCTAAGTTTCGGAGATAAAAAGGATGTAGAAGTTTCATTTGTATTTAGATTTTTTCCAAATAATTTCTGAAGTGCCGTCAATATTTGGGTGAAAATTCGTGTCTAAGGAGTGTAATGTCTCATGTCAAAAAATGAGTTTTTGACTTGAGAAATTTGATTTTGATGTCAAATGACTCCTATTTGTAAAAGGCGCCACCTACTTGTGTTTTAACTGTTTTGTAGAGTAATAACTTTTTATCCGTACCTGTATAAAACTACTGAGTGAAAAAATATACATTTTCGTGACTTTTTACGTAAAAAATGTCTTTTGGTAAAAATTGTTCGAGCAACCATTCTCAAGATATTTAGAATTGAAATAGTCAATACATGTCATTATTGACAAAAAATAAACACGGTTGAGTAAATAGCTATTTAACTGAAATAATTATTGGGAATTAACTGAAATAATTTATTAATTAATCATAAATTTTTCTGCCGAAAAAATGGTCATAAAACAGTTTCTGTTGAACTTTTGGCAAAAAAACATTTTAAATTTATGACTTCAGTCTAATAAGTTTAATAAAGTCGATGTTTAATTAATAAGTAAAATGTTTAATTAATTTACGTTAATGGTGACAGATATTGATAATTTCGATTCCAAATATCTCGAGAACCATTACTCGTAGCCGATTTTCAATAAGATATATTTTTTACGCAAAAAACGTCGTAAATACATCTTTTTTTACTCACTAGTTTTATACAGGTACGGACGAAAAGTTATTACTCTTCAAACCAGTTAAAAAATATGTTGGTGGCGTTCTATACAAGTAGGAGTTATATATCTAGTGACTTTAGTAGGAGTTATATTGACATTAAAATCAAATTTCTCACATCAAAAAAATTTCAGACACATCAAAATATTGACGATACTTCGGAAATTATTTGGAAAAAAACGAAATAAAAATGATGTTATCTCCGAAACTAAGCATTGTAGGACATACATTTACACGAACTTTTTTTTTGCTTATTTTTATCTGCAGAATATGCTACCAAATTTCCGGAATACAGTTCGGACCACCCTGTATATTAAGTATATTTACACTCAATAAAATGTTTCTAGACAGGCAAAAATGAATTTATTAATAATTATTTTTTGAAAATAAATTTGTGTCTCGATTTATTTTTAATTAAATATTATTTTTGGACAAATTTTTAAGCAAATTTTTAATAAATAACATATCAGTTCGAAAGCTTAGAGCTGCCATGTCAACAATGTGAACCAAACCAAACCTAACCAACATCTTTTCTCAACTTTTTCTTTAAATTTATACTTTTTCTGTTGATTTACAAAATTTGATTATAGATACAAGAAGTATAAATTTACAAAATAGGTGGAAATTTACAGAAAAAGTGCAAACTTATAAAAAAGTGTAAATTTGCAGCAAAAGTGTAAATTTTGCTAAAAATATTTTCGAATGTTTGGTTTGGCATGGCTGTTCTACGCTTTCATATATCTATAATAAGGGTTGGGCCAAGTTGTCATCTCAAAAGTATCTGTGACGCTATTTTTTTCGATTATGTGATATTTTATTATTATCATATATCAATATTACTGTTTTTTTGCTTTAGGAATGAACTAGGTTTAGACGAAGAGGAAGTTTTACAGACAGATCTGACAATGTTACCAAAAAAACGTAGAAACGAACTAAAAACAATAGAAAAAATGAAAAAGAGCGTCGAGTCTTCGAAAGAAGAAAATATCAAACTGAGAATGGAAATATTAAACTTAAATAAGAAGGTATTTTGAGTGAATTTTTTTTAAATTTATAATAAATTGTTATTTCATTATTTTTTTATAGTTTACTAGTTTAATGAGTAAGGATGAGGTGGATTACTCGAAACATCGACCAAATGAAGATTTGAAAGCTCTCTCAGAAGAAAACGAAGCATTGAGAAATGGTCTGCACGAGATCTTGACTAGCGTTCGACAGAAAGATCAAGGTATAAGGAACACTGTATGATCGAAAAAAACGGCATCATAGTAACCTCTGAAAAATTGATATTTAATTAAAAAAGTTTTTAGACAAATACTTCTCATAAATAATTTGCTGAATAGATTGGCGTGTTTGAAAACTACTAATTTTTTTCTAATTAAATTTTAATTTTTGACAAGATTTTATGTATTTTTTTTAAAAAACGGCTTATATGGAGTCAATTTGACAAAAATTATTATCGATCTTCATGTCAAATCCTACTGTAATGCCTTTTTTTCTCGGTCCTATGGTATTTTTAATTCTAATTAATATTTAAAAAAAATTATTTTAGAAATATCGCCTAGAGAAATAAAATCGGAAATATTAGAAAAACTTCTTAGAGCTTTGGACGTTAAACACATTTCAGGATGGTATCATCCAGCCATGAGATTACAAGTAAGATTTTACAGTTTAAAATAACCATTTTTGTTTTTAAATTTTAGTTATTAATATATTTTATTATTTAAAAATTTTATTATTAGATTTTTGAAAAAATCCGTAATATAGTTCATATCAAATCAACTTTTAGTTACGTGATTAAGCTTGGCAGGCACAGCATTGCCACTTTTACATATTTTCTTTTAATCGAAATATTTTAGGAAACAAAAATAAATTAATTATAAATATATAAATAATTATTATTTATATCAACAAAACTCACCTTCTTAACAGTACTTAAGGGACATAAGAGACTATTACTGCCGCTTTCCCGTTTAAAATATCGTAATAAAGTTGCGATGAGTTTTTTATGGCTATTAAGCTATCTTATACACTTCGCACTAAAAGAAGTTCAAAAAAGAACAATGTTTGACTGCAAGATCTGCTAGTAAAAACTCGTAATACAAAACTAAAGTGACGAATGACAATGTCAGGAAATAAATAAATAAATGTGGCGATTTGACATTTTTTACAGCAGAGCTACCACCTGAATACCCAGCGGGAAATTTAAATTCTAGTTAGTCAACCTGGTGCCGAATATGTCCATGGTTGGCAACATTTTTTTTTATTATGATTTATTAGCAATCAGAATAGTTACAAAGAAATTCTATGGGCTAATTTGATTACTTCAGAGCAATGACGCTCCAGTTAACGTGATGAGGTCTTCTCCAGCGGAAAATCCTCCTTAATATTCTTTAAAATCATGGCCATGATGGCCATTGTCTTTTAAGTCTTCTTGTAGGTACTGGTTCAAGTAGAGGCTGAAGTAAGGTATTAGTGTGATCATGTAGTTTATTGAAATGTTTTTTGCCCCGAGTTTGGATGACCTCTTTGACGTATGGAATTTTTAAGTCTTCATGTAGAGTATGATTGGAGACATACCATAGTGCGTCTGTTATCATCCGTAGAATTTTGAGTTGCCTCCTTTGTATTAAGGCTATATTTGATTTACTAGCGCATCCCCAGAGTTCTGCTCTATATGTACAAATAGGTATTATTATGGTTTTGTATAAAAGAAGTATATTCTCTAGCGATATATAGTTCTCGAGTTTATTCTCTAGCGATCTTCTTTCTATGAACCAATATTTTTATATAATAAGTATTTTATTTTTAAATCTATTTGCTTACGTTTCTTTACTATGTGTTCTTTCCAGGTAAGCTTAGTATCCAAGTGCATACCTAAGTACTTGGTAGAGGAAGACTGAGGAATTAGTGTGTTGTTGAAGTATACTGGGGGGCACTGGTCTCTATTTAAAATAAAGGTGACTTGGGCCGATTTTGATGGATTACTTTTTATTTTCCAATCACGTAACCATGCCCCTATTACATTTAGATGTCTTTGTGATATCCAAGAAGTTGTTTCCGGCTTTTTGTTGATAGCCATAATTACTGTGTCATCTGCAAAAGTAGCCGTTGTTGTTTCATTGTTTGTGGGAAAGTCTGCTGTATAAAGAACATAGAGTAGTGATCCTAGGACACTACCTTGTGGAAACCTGCATTTATGCTATAATTTGCAGATACATCCTCACTTATTCTGACTCTAAACTCTCTACCATTTCGATAGGATAGGATTTCGATCAATAGCGGAAAGTCGGACATAGGAAGATAATTTTTAATTTTATGAAGTACTCCCGTATGCCATACTTTGTCGAAAGCCTGACTAACATCAAGAAATACTGATGTGCAATACTTTTTGTCCTTTAGAGTTTGAGTTATATTGCGGGTAATCCGATGTATCTGCTGAATAGTAGAATGTCTTTCTCGAAACCCAAACTGGTGATGTGGTATCCAGTTTACGGTTTTTGGATCTGAGTTGATTCATCGAAATATCAGTCTTTCAAGCATTTTGAAAACTAATCGTAATAAGCTAATAGGGCGATATGAGGAGACTTTGTTTAAATCTTTACCTTGTTTTGGGATCATTATAATTTCGGTTGTTTTCAGCGATCTCGGCCAGTAGTTCAATCTTATGATGGTTTTAAATATATATGTGATAAGTACTACTAATCCTTTCCTTGGTAATTCTTTTAACATTTTTGACGTTATCTTATCGACTCCTCGCTTTACGAGGATTTAGGTTGTTAATTGCGTGCTGAACTTTTTTAACTGTTAAAAACTTGATTGCTGATATGTTTAATGGGACAGTTGACACACTTTTCTCTATTTCATGATTTAAATCATTATTATGCGGTGACATGGGCGCCGGACAGGGGGGGCAAGAGGGGGCATTTGCCCACCCCTGGATCACTGAAACAATAAAAATAAAAGCTATATCTTCTTACATCCATCTGTAAAAAAATACCTGTGTTACCTGTAAAAAAATAAAAAATGTGGTAATTATTGGGAAAACTGGAAATCGTTCGATTTTCACCAAAATTGGTATACACACTATTTTGAGGTCGTAGATTACGAATCTACTTTTTTTCTTGGCGGTCTCTTACCGTTTTTCAGAAAAACGGAAAATTATTTCAACATTGAATTTTTCTTTATTTCTGCCCTATAAAGTAATAATTTCACTATATTTTCATTATATTATAGTTTATCTAAAAGCCACACTTGATTGGGGATAGAAAAGTGTCCAACATTTTACTGAAAAACACTTTTCTTAACAAAATAGCAAAGAAAATTGAGACCAGATGGAAGTTTGACATTTGATATATCCTTCTTTCTCTCTCCTATGTAATAAGAGAGACAAATATATTCTAGACCTAATCTAGAAATTTGAAAATTTACAACGTTGCCATATCTTCTATTTTTTCGGGTGATTAGGGATTTTAAATAAATTACCTATTATGAGATCGACAATAATTAAATATACACCTATATCCACAAAATTACGCGGAAGAGTTTTGATTGCATTGGTTTTAACTTCTTTGCGGAGGGGGTTAATCTTTTTTTAGTTAATCTAATAATATAACAACAAAAGATTAACACCCTCTGCATGGAAGTTGTAACCAATGCAATCAAAACTCTTTCGTGCAACTTCGTGGGTATAAATAGTCAGATCTCGTTGGTAAAATAGCAGTTATGGGAAGGAGCCGTTCTTCTGGCGACCGCCTTTCGTAATTCCAGAATGAGCGAAAAAAACACGCTAAATTTAGGTTTAGCATTGGCAACGTTGCTTTAAATGCCAGAAACACATAAACTTACTTCGGGTTTCTCTTATTACCGATTCTGAACCGTCCTAGAACTGTGATGCGTATGCGCAGAAGGAAATATGAAGACATTATTTCATTTGCGCAGGCGCTGCAGTGTTCTTGGACGGTTCAGAATCGGTAATAACAAGAACCCGAACAAAGCTATAACCTAACATTTTCAGATTGTTTACAAATTTATTTTAGCAAATTTTCCTCCATTATGCATAGAATTGGTTAAAAAAGTAACAGAAAATAGCAAAAACCTGAAAAATATGAGAAATTAAGAAAAATTCGATATTGAAATTATTTTCCGTTTTTCTGAAAAACGGTAAGAGACCCCCAAGAAAAAAGTTCAGATTCGTAATCTACTTCAAAATAGGGTGTATACCAATTTTGGTGAAAATCGGACGATTTCCAGTTTTCCCAATAATTACCAAAAATGTAAATTTTTTATTCATTTTTACCTTGCCCCCCCCCCTAAATTTCATTCTTCCGGCGCCCATGTGCGGTGAGAACTTACTTGCGTACTTTTGCGAGGTTCTACAAAACGGCTTTTTCTTTATCACTTCTGGCCCACGGCAGATTCAGGTCTAGCTCGTTAAGGGGAGGTGATTGAGTTTTAGGTTTTTTTGAATGTTTGATTGGTTTCCATATGGAGCTGTCATAATGGTTGAGATTTTGCAACAATGAATTTAAAAATTGCGCCCCCGATTACGCAACTAAAAGTTTAATTGGTATCAAATATACATATTTTATTATACATCAAAATTATATTTTTTTAGGCTGAACTACACAACTTGGAAGGTGTTAATAGTGAATTAAGGGAACAGCTACGTGATGTCAGGTACTTATTGATTATATATAGCCTGTCCAGTGAAAGAATTTGTGACAGTGACAGTTGTGTGTCACTTTAATACAGAAGTAATATTTTCTCGCTGGCACACTATAAGTATTCTGTGTTTGATTTAGTGTAAATGTTTAAAAAAAGTTTGTAGATTTTTCATGGATATGTAATTCCAAATTACATAGGTTTCCATAGGAATCCACGCAGTGACATTTTACAACCAATAAATAACTTTATTATTTTTATATATCTGTTTCAGTGACGAAATACTCAAGATTTTTTTAATCTTTTGTAGATCTGAGTTGGAGAATCTTAAGATTAGTGAAAAAGAAAGCATCAAACAAACAATTCAGAATGAAGATGTCACTGGATTGGATAATAGAATTAATATAACAGACGAAAAACTTTTGAAAATTAGTCCTTTGTTGAAAGCAAATTACGACAATATTCAGGAAATTAAAATTAGCATTTTGAAGATCATTGCGGTAAGTACAAGCGTATGTGACGTCATAGTAGACTTAGCTACTGTGACGTCATTATGAGCTTTATTATATTTGATGTTTAAGTAACCTGCGATCGAAAAAAAATGGTGTGACAATGGCTTTCGAAATAATAATACTTTGTTTATTAAAAATTGAGATAAAATCTTGTCAGGATTACCAAACTTGACAAGTCTTAAAATTTATATATGTAAATAGTCGCCAAGATACGCCAAATATACATCACACAAATCTATTCAGTAAACCTATTTTTTGAAAATCGATTTGCGCCTGAAACTTTTATGCTTTTTTCCGAGGTTTTTCTAAAATGAATCATTAATTTTTGACAATTTTTTTACCAAATTTTGACAAATGATATTTAAGGGTTTGGTCCAATAGAAATTCTCATTCATTGACATTTGAAAAGTTACTGCCACGCTGTTTTTTTATCTTATGGTATTTTCAAGTATCACGAAGTATACGAAAAGATGTTCGAGGATTAAAATAATATAGTGTTTTATTTTATTTTAGAATCTCTATGAAGACGATGAAAATATAGAAAATAATTTAGAAAATGAATTTTCTTTGGTCCAAAACCGTACTGCTTTGCTCCACGAAAAATGTTTTAAAGAAAAACAAACACTTATAGAAGAGCTAAATAAAAAACACATAGAGAATGAAGAAAAAGTTATTGACTTAGATTTAAATTCAATCAACAGTGAAGAAATAAAGAGTTTACTGCTAAAAGAACGAAAAAAAGTCAAAAACTTACTTAACGAAAATATACTGATGGAGGATAAGATAAACCTTTTAAAATCAGAGATCGGAAATATTGAACTGAATCGTAGAAAGCAAATAGAGGTTTTCCTGAAGAAAATTGCTCGTTTAAGAATCAAACTGAAAGAAAAAGATTTGGAGAAATTTACTTTTGTTGATCAAAAGGCGTTTAAAGAGACTGAAAAATCTTTGGATGAATGTTTGGTAAAGTACAGAAAACTTCTGAGGGATGTTGAAGATTTGCAGAACGGAAAATCTTTGGAACTGTCAATTTTAACGAGGAATGAAGAAGATTTGAGGAAAGAAAATACAGAACTAAAAGGTAGTATTTCTTCATAAATATCTGCTGTATGTCCCAGGATTATCTTTAATAGAGGAAAAACTTTTTTATTATTGACATTTTGAAAATGCATTCACCATAAAAAATTGCGTGTTCTAAAATGGTTAATCGTGTTTATATTTTTCTAAATTTCCATACCGTTTTAGAGAAAGTAAAAAATACATGAGAATATAGTTGAATTTTTTCCTAAAAAAGTCCTAAAAATCAAAATGCGTTTCCATGGTAATACAATTTTGTTTTCATTCTTTGATAGATTGTTATTAATACCGTATGATCCTTTGAATAAGAAGACTAAGGAAGGAGCATATCAAAGGTCTTAGGTCCACCGCGATGGGCCTCAAATATGGCCGACTTAAATTCCGGTTTATCAGTGCCGTTCTAATTTTATTTAAAAAATGTAAAACTATGATGTAGGGTAGACGTGGGGTAGACTCAATAATTTGTTAGTTTATTTTACGTTGTGAATAAATGTTGGTAGTTATTAAAATTGTTATAAAAATATAAAATTCTAATAAAAATAGATAAGTTATAATAATTATTTATAACCATAAACATCCGATACGCTACTGAAGCAGGTAAGTCAGATTGACGTATCTAAATTGTTTGACATCTAATCTTTGACAAGTAGTAAATAAAAGCAAAAATGCAAGAAAAAATATATAATTAGTTAATTTGAGTGAATTTCATAAATGATCGGTTTACTACACGTATGTATATTATATAGTCACTTACTAGCGAAAAGTTGTTCCATGATTTCACTCGATTTTTGCCGAGATCTACCGCACGCTACACAACCAACTATTTTAGAGTCTTTTTCGATAAATCGCGATAGTGTCACTGTTAATTTAAGTCCTGCCACAATTTTCATCTAGATTTACTACCTCTATACAACTATCAGTAGTAGAATAAATAATAAATAACATAAAATAAGCTCCGTAAAGACTGACATATACACAAAAGTTCAAATCAAATTCAAATGTGTCAAATGAATCGTCAAACAGAACTGTCAAGGATCCCCATCCTAGAGTCCTTTTTCCGCCCACCATGCATAAATACATGGATAGCATTATGCTCCTTCCTTAGTCTTCTTATTCAAAGTCTACCGTAGTGCTGCTTTCAGTCGACAGAGTGAGTGGTTGCCGGAGGCAGTGTTGCCAGAACTACGGATTAATTCGTAGATTTACGGATTTTGGGTACAGTACGTTAATAATACGGATTTTCTATCATTAAACAATTTAATATAATATTTTAATATTATACGATTAAAAAAAGAACGCGTCAGATTTGCGTTGGAAATGAAGGTCGCTGTTATTTCATATGTAAAATATTATGGTAATGTTAATAATCGTGACTTCCAAGCCAACTAAACGACTTTTTTCGATCATACGAAATATTCAGTACCTATAAAAGAACTTTTATTTTTGTTTATTCTTTGTTAAAGACGAATAAATTTTCAATACATAAACGTAGATTTTTCATGGCAACACTGTCGCTTTCAGTTTCACACAGAACGATTTTTGACAAAGGAATCTAAAACACCAAGAGGAATTCGGGCAAAAAAGTCGATATTATCATGATTAATAATAGAAAAGCGAAACAGCAAAACATATGACGTTAATCAAAATTAATAATATCTATCTATCAAAGAATGAAATCGAAATTATATTACCATAAAACATCTTTTGATCTTTAGGACTTAGGTATGCAGTCCTCTAACCTCCGTAGACTTAGGAAAAAATTCAACCATGTTTTCATGTTTTTTTTGTCTAAAACAGTATCGAAATTTGAAAAAGTATAAACGGTATTAACCATGTTCATGTTCTAAAATGAACATGAAGAATGAATATTAGTATTTTAATAAAGCACGCTTTTAGATGTTTCAAAAAACTTTTAATAAGAGTAACTTTAACTCAACATATATGTTTCGGCTTGTTAGGCCTTTTTCAAGAGTTTTTTAAGAACTAATCGTCTAACTACACTGTAACTATATATATATTTATTATGGGGGTGGGTTCAGAGAGTTTACAATAGGGGTAATAAAAAATGTGTTTAGAAATCCTTGTTGGTCGTTAACATTATTTTTGTTTTTAACAGATTTTAGTATTTCTAACTGTTCAATGTAATTTAAGCGTCTACCTTTTGTTTCTCTGTGTAGTAACTTAATTGAGTTTTCATTAATTTTGTGACTATTTACTATACAATGAGTTGCAAGACCAGAACTATGCTGGAGATTATTAATAGACTTTACATGTTCTTTAATCCTTATATCTAAATTTCTACCTGTTTGGCCTATGTACACGGCATCACAATCATTGCAATCCACCTATATACACCCGACTTTTTTTGACATTAGTTTTGTCTTTATTATTTAATAAAATTTGACCTAAATTTCTTTTATTTACGTTAATAGTTTTACATCCTATTTTATTGAGATTATTTGATATTTTGTTAGTTAAATTAGGAATGTAGTTTAAAAGTCGATAATTGTTATTGTCTTTAGAATTAGCGGAATAATTAGCGGAATAATTCTAACACATTTTTTATTACTCCTATTGTAAACTCTCTGAACCCACCCCCATAGTAAATATATATATATATATATATATATATAGTTACAGTGTAGTTAGACGATTAGTTCTTAAAAACTCTTGAAAAAGGCCTAACAAGCCGAAACATATATGTTGAGTTAAAGTTACTCTTATTAAAAGTTTTTTGAAACATCTAAAAGCGTGCTTTATTAAAATACTAATATTTCAACGATGTTTCACAAGGAACCAACCACAGCTTCAGTACAATTTATGAAGAATGAATTTTTCTCAATATGTCAATAATAAAAAAGTTTTTCCTTATGTAAAGATCATCCGAGGACATACTGTAGAGCTAACTTAAATGATAAAAAAAAATATCAAATTCAGTATTAAGTACATTGCTTCGCTTAAAAAAAAGAGAGAATGAGAATGAAAAAAGAATAATATGTAATTCATACTCTCTGTAACTCAAGTCCTGACACAATGTCTTTTCATATTTATATACTTTGAATAAAAGCAATAATAAAATAAATATATACGAAATAACTCTAGATTAGTCTTTCTTTTCGATAAATATTCCCTATTTTGTTGGAGTGATTAATTTAATTTATTTTTTTTTGTAGAAAGATATCAAAATTTATCCTGCCAACTTCAAGACATTATTAAAACTAAAGAATTATCTTTGTTGACCGAAAAGTTGGGCATTGCCGAGATGCAAGCTGTCAAAGAAAAAAATCGGGCAGATCATATGAGTAATTTGTATGATTTGGTTAAAGAACAATTGAGGAAATCGGAAGAAAAGCTGTTGGATTTTTCTAAACAAGTTGAAGGATTGGCGCAGAAAAATTTGGCGTTACAGGCACAAATCAGGGAATCCCAGAGTGAAGTAGTTTCTAACGAGATTTTGGAACGTTTCCAGGTAAAAAAAAAAGGAATTGTATATTACACTCCTACTTTACAAGTTAGTAAATAATTATATCAACTTATGTATTTTTATTTGAAAATATTTTATCAATTTTAATAAACATAGTCTGTTCAACCTGCCAGGGAAGATTTCGACAAAGACATACAAAAAATACAATGTATACGTGAATAACAGACACAACTGTCACGGATTTTCTTGTCTTTATTGACTTAACGTAAAATTAGTCAGACCAGCAAATTAGTTGGTCTACTTTACTTCCTTGGCTTGATTGATTTTACTTATTTTTTTATGAATATAGTTGTATTAATTTTCGCAGGAACTGAAGCTGGAATTTGAGAATTTGACGAAAGAACAAGAAAAAGAAGTTTTAATAGAAGACAAAGAAACGTTTGAAAGTGATATTCAGAAGTGGGATAACCAGAAACATCAGCAATTACTAGGTAAAAGTTTTAAGGTATTTGTTATTGTCAACTACCGTTTAATTTAATTCAGAATTTTAAATATATTATGCTATTAAATTTATCAAAAATTTTTATGTTTTATTTGAAACAAAAACTCATTAATGTAACACCAATGACTGTTCACTTTAAATTTAAGTTCTCTTATGTTGATGTGACTTTTTAAGTAACTTTGTATTTTTTGTTTATTTTTTACTTTCTTTTTCTTTATTTTTTTTATTATTAGAACTGAAGCATCAGATTATTGATCTAACGGCTTCTTCCGATGATAAATATCAAATTCAGCGACTTCATTATGATTTGGGAAGGTATAAGTCTTCAGAAAGGGATTGGTCTATTAAAATTAATCGCCTAGAAGAAGAATTAACTCTTTGGAAGAACAAATTTGACGAAATCAGTTCACAAATTGAAAAAGTAGATCGAGATCATCAAATATCTGAAAAAATGTCACAGAAAAAAGTGAGGTAAGCATATTTTAAGTTTAAAGAAACAATATTCTGATATTCCTTCCCGCTTTTTTGTTCAGACAAAACATTTAAAAAGCAGTTTTTCTGTAATAAGTCACTGGATTCAGAATTCAAGAAGACAATTTTATATGCATATTTTACCATACTAAGAACGAAACATATTTATATTTTAAAAAATGTCCATTCCTCCAAAAAAACCTATATGGGTATATCGCCACTGCAAGAAAATTTGTCAGCAGTTAGGTTTACAGATAAACAAATTTGCCTAACAAACAAAAAAATGCTTAACGTTTCGGAAAGATTTTTGTAGACGTATCTGTTAAAAAAAAACTAAAGTGTTTTCGAATAGCTGAATTTAAATATTTTAAATAGTTTTTTTCTTTATTCTTTGTATTTTTTTTGCTTCCGACGACGGAAAGAGGTAAACTTTCCGAAACGTTAAGCATTTTTTTGTTCGTTAGGCAAATTTGTTTATCTGTAAACCTAACTGCTGACAAATTATCTTGCAGTGGCGAAATACCCATACAGGATTTTTTGGAGATATATTTATATTTCTTTAATTAATTTTATATAGTGATCTAAGAAGAATAATCAAACTACAACATATACAATTCTATGGAAATATACCGTTGAGTGGAGAAGAAATATTTGTGGGAAAATTATTGGCACTGAATAAAGAACAGCACGCAATTTTCCTTAAATTTCAGCAAGTAAAAACATTGAAAAATAATCTTCTTGCAAAAGATGGAAAACATTCTAATTCTATTGATGATGGTATCCAGACAAATGTAAGCATTATATAACATTATATTTATACATATAGAAATTCAAACATAGTTTAATACTAAAGGTGGGGTAGTTTTTTAAACAAAATATATTGTATTTCTTATTTACTTTTTTATTACCGCATTTGGCATAACAATTTTATTCTAAAATTACGATGATGTCATAATTTATACCTAATAGTTTTTGAAATACCATACAAAGAAAAAAAAACGGCGCATAGTTCGCTTGGAAATGAAAATAACTGTATTTTTTTACGCGAATTACATGGCAAATGTCATTGGTCGTTATTTGCAAGCCAACTTGACACTGTTTTTTTTTCAGTCGTACGGTATATATAAAGTTTTTTAGAATTATAAAATCGCAAATTATTGATTAATTTTTAACAAAAAGTAGTAATAAGATAGGGATCTTTTTCTCACAAGTTTGGTCACCCTCTATATTTCTAGATTTTATTTAATAAAATTTGGATTTTTATTTTGCTCAGACTTATATTTTATCAGACAATTTATACAGTTTTTACAGTAAAAATGTGTTATTACCTATTTTATTATGATAATTATGCCAATTTTTAGCAAATGGTGTCTATAGATTGACGTCGCCAAAATTATCATAGATTGTCATTCGCCGGACGTCTTTGATGCCGGTTTTTTTTATTATACTGTATTGTTGAAATAAATAACTTTTGATTTTTTATATTTAGGACTTGGAACAAAAAGACGATATAATACAATTTTTTGAAAGTAAAATCGAACTACAAAACCACCAAATTATCAAACTTGAACAAGAATTATTATCCACTCTCAAAAGTGTTTATCATTCTGAAATAAAACAGCCTCATCCAACATCTAAAACTGTGCCAAAATTAATCAGACAAGTAGTAGTCCAAGAATCCATGGCCCCCACTAAAAACCACACTCTAACAATACATTTGCTCAAAAACCAGGATTGCCAGACTGAACAATTTTTCCCGGAACCCAAGGAAACGGAAAATGAAGCGGCATCTATGTTAAAAACGAAAATCAGACAGCTGGAAGGTCACATGACCGAAAAAAATCAGCTGATTATTCAGAAGGATTTTGAATTGGGGGAGTTGAAAAGGGAACTGAACGAAGAAAAGTCTCGTGTTGTAGGATTAAATAGGAAGCTGCAGGATTTGGAGGATAATAATAATAGAATCAGGGCGAGTCATGCAGAAAATGGGGCAGGTGATGGTATCGCAATGAGAAATCAGCAAATGGGTCATTTTGACGAACAAATTGTTGCTCTAAGGGTAAGCATGAATCGGAAATCGCCAACTTTACGCATGAGTGGGGAGTTAGATTTTATCATAGTTTGGTTACGTATATTTTTTAGGCTGCATTATCTTCTACTAAAGACAACTTGAATAAAAAAGAATTGGAGATTATTAAATATCAGACACTTTTAAAGGAAGACAGGGATAAGCATAGTTTTGCTGCAGCCAACTTAGATCAGGAATTGAAAGTTTTACAGAAAACTTTATTACTGGAACAGCAAAAACGTAAAAAGTAAGTTGTCGAAATCACTCGTAATTTAAACTATTCTTAAACTCAGATGAATAATTATTAAGGTCCGACCGAGATCTCGGTCTCGGTTACAGTCATTCTCGGCTTAAAATCAGGCCAAGATTTCGGTCTTGTTCTCGGCATAAAAAGGCCGAGATTATCGGCCACGGCCGAGACTGCACACGATCGATGCGTGGAGGAATGAAATACTCGTCCGAAGTCGAAAAAAAAAGAATGGATCATATCTGATCCATATAAAATATGATCTGATGGAATCACGAAGGGAATTTCCTAGACGGCTAAAGAATCGACTTATATGCGTAAACAATAAACGGAATGTTAGATGTTAGTATCTTATTAATGTAAGTTTTATAAATTTAACAGAATTGTGCGTTTATATGAATTACACGTATATCCTACTAATAAGTAAAATTTTTGTGTGTAATTATTCATCTCCATACAAAGCTCTGAAACCAGTAGCTTATAAAGTTCTAGTCTGCACCATCATCAAGCGTCTCTAGCAAACAACTATTTAGATAAAATATGATGAAACACTGCATAATTTGAAAGGATTCAATGCTGAAAAATTACTTTTTTAGCCTATAACATAGACCAAAAAAAGTAATTTTATAGTATTAAATCCCAATAAAACCGTGTCTGCATAAAAATAACGTTTTTATTACATTATTATTCTTAGTAAGGAGCATATCAAAAATCTTAGGTTCACCGCGATGGGACTCAAATATCAGTGCCGTTCTAATTTTATTTAAAAAGTGTAAAATTATGATGTAGAGTAGATGTGGGGTAGACTCAATAATTTGTTGTTTTATTTTACGTTGTGAATAAATGTTGGTAGTTATTAAAATTGTTATACAAATATAAAATTCTAATAAAAATAGATAAGTTATAATAATTATTTATTAACACAAACATCCGATACGCTACTGAAGGAAGTAAGTCAAATTGACGTATCTAAATTATTTGACATCTAATCTTTGACAAGTAGAAAACAAAAGCAAAAATGCAAAAAAAAAATATATAATTAGTTATTTTAAATGAATTTCATAAATGATCGGTTTACTACACGTATGTGTATATTATATAGTCACTTACTAGCGAAAAGTTTCATTATTTCACTCGATTTTTGATCGACATCTACCGCACGCTACACAATCAACTATTTTAGAGTCTTTTTCAATAAATCGCAATAGTGTCACTGTAAATTTAAGTTCTGCCACAATTTTCTTCTAGATTTGCTACCTTTATACAACTATCAGTAGTAGAATAAATAATAAATAACAAAAAATAAGCTCCGTAAAAAGTGACAAATGCACAAAATTTCAAATCAAATTCAAATGTGTCAAATGAATCGTCAAACAGAACTGTCAAGGATCCCCACCCTAGAGTCCTTTTTCCGCCCACCATGCGTAAATACATGGATAGCATTATTCTCCTTCCTTAATCTTTTTATTCAAAGATTCTTATCTGATGTTTTTTCATATAATAAACTATTAAATAAATATTGTATCGTGTCTCGGTCTCGTTCTCGGCCGAGAATTTCTTTTTCTCTCGGTCTCAACATCAACAGAATGCCCCGCATCAACAGAATGCGGGTGATCATCAGAACCTTTGCCGCTGACTGAAACTAAATATCAGAATGTACCGAATAAAAGAACAATATAACCTTTTTTGGTGTGTTTTAGTCTGGAACAAATGGAAATATTGTCCAATCAAAAAACTACGGCTGTGGAGAAATACGTGTCGCAAGTTCATCTACTAGAGGGCCATTTAGCCGAATTACACACCAGACAGGCCAAAATGGAGGTACAGTTGCATACTGCGCAACAAGAAGCGGCTCGCTGGCGTGAGATGGCACAGGACAGACTGGTTGCCATAGAAGAACTAGGAAAAAAGTTAGTTGAACATTATAATTTCATTTATTAAAAAAACACACACCTAGTGAAATAAATTATTAACAACATAATTTTTTTCAATTAAACTATTGTTTTATTTTTAGTTTGGACGAACAACACCAAAAAGAATTGACCAACTATAAAACTGACTATCAAAAACTAAAAGATCTGGCAAGAGAAGAGACTCCTAGAAAAGAAATCGTTAAAGAAATTGCTAGTTCAAATGGAGGAGTCTTCGATCCAGATGTACTGAAACTTTTTAGAGAAAAAGACGAAAGAATCAAAGAACTAACAGCCAAGTTAAAGCAGGTATGTACTCGTATATTTTCTCTTTAATCAGTTTTTTGTAGCCATTAACAGTTAACTGGCTATAAGAAAATGTAAATATTTTTTTGGGGTAAAAAACTATAAAAATTACTTATAATTTTGTTTTTTTGCGTATTTTCAGGTCCAAACTGTAGACTACAGATCGGGTGCTACTGATAGTCAAAAGGCCAATATTTCCAAGGAAAATGAATTTTTCAGAAAGAAATACGATGGTTTGCTAGAAAGAGAAAAGAGTTTACAAGAAGAAATCAAGAATCTGCGTGAACAACTCTCAAAAAAGTACGATATCATTACTCTATTGACCAACTCTGCACTATTTTTTTATGACTCTAAAGCCTCATGGTGGTTTCAACTGTACTTTATACTTCAATGTTTACGATCATTCACAATGTCTAAAAAATACAATTAAAATTAATAAAATATTCTAGCAACAGCTTGCGGTAGTCAGTAGTATTCATAGAGCAAGCCTAATAATTAGTTTATAACAAAAAACTTTTCATTTCAAGACAGGCGTACTTAACTCAAAAACCGTCAAAAACCATCAAGGATCAACTTCAGAAAAAGATAGCATTACTGGAAACGGAAGTGGAAAATCTAAAACAAGAATTGACCGATCAGAAATTACTGAACGAAAGGCACAAGTTATCAGTGGCTGAGAATTTTGGGAAATGGAAAAAGCAGAAATTTTGGCAGGAAAATTGTGAAAAATTCAAAGCGAAATTACAGGAACGAGAAGAAGAGTTGTCGAAGTTTCAACAAACTTGTTCAGGACACAAGTAAGTGTATTTATGATGTGTTTAACGCTTTTATTTAGCGTGATATATATGTTACAGTGAAAGTCGGAAATTCAGTGATTGTTAACAATCACTAGGAAATGCTAACAATTACGCATTGGACCAGTGAATGAGGTATTTTAAAGAGATTTGCCGACTTTTACTAGTAATTTCTAACATTCGCTAGTGAAAGTAACATTTACTAAAGGTTGCCAGTAAAAGTTATTCCATTGTAGTGGCGAGTGTGACGAGGAAGAATGTTGTTGGAAGTTAGAACAAATAAAACTTTTAAGAATATTGGGTCACCTCAATATTCAAGCTGATCCACATATCTCAAAATTACAATTTACTTCTTTAGTATATTTATTAAAAATTATAGAAAATAACGACATAACCTTTTAAAAATATTAAAAAAGAAAACATAATAAACATTTTGAAGTGTACAAAAAATTAAAAAAAACATTCATAAACATAAGATTACTTATTGGTACAAAATGTTTTTTAATAAAGTTCTTCATCATGGACAAAATAATTAAAATTAGGTAGATTTATGAAATAAAAATGTCTATAAAAAGTAACTAGCAAAACATTTTTTTAATTTTCTAGCTGGTTTAATGATAAAACTGTACTGTGGTTCCCAAAAAACTCAACCTTATCAATATTATTCTACTAGAAATCGAAATGTGAATATAAATTTTAAAAACAAAAAACGATTCTAAAATGGCTGACAATCGGATACTTGTTAAGAATGGCGGATTTCTGTGCCCGACTTAATATGAACTACCAATATACCAATTCTGACCGGGTCTCCAACATTAGTCGTCTCACACGACCGAAGTCATCAAACCGGACGACCGGCAATCGTATTATGACGGATATAATTCCAACGTACGCCATGTAACCTCACTTTGCGTATCAGTGATTTGTGGATTTGTGCAACTATATTTTAGTTTTTGTTTTCTCCTTAAAAAACATGGGCAGCCACTTTTTTAAGCCTAACCTCACATGTGAGAGGAGGATGGGGTCTGCTGGTTTCCTAAGCTAAAAAATGAAATTAAGATGCACCAGTGTAATGCATCATCTCTTCCGGATAAAAAGCATTTATGGGTGGAGGCAAGACATCACTACTACTATTATTATTTTGCAAAAGCCTCGACCTCTTTCTGTAAAATGTAGATGAATGTCTAAATGCCTTTTTAGTGTTTTTTAGGCATAATAAAAAAATTAAGTTTGTTTACAAAAACTTTTTATTAGGTTATGTTCATGATGTACATTAGGTCGCAAATGCTACTTAATGGGTTGTATTTACTGACGTAAATAGAGATACGTAAATTAGGTTATAAATATGAACATAAAATACAACAAAATATAATTGGACGTTACTTTAGGGATAATCAGTGAGACGTATCCTATTCGTACAATAGGTAGACGTCGGGCTAGTTCAAGTATATGTACGTCGTGCAAGCCAACGTGGGAACGACGTTGGGAAAGTAATAAAAATGGTACGTTGTTATTTTGTACGTCGACAGAGTTGGATTTACCGACTCGGATTCAACGACGTCACTTTTAATAGGAAAGCGACGTCACCGGTCGTATCAACAGCACCCGACCTAAATTTGCACAAAGTCTGACGTCGCTTCGGGTCAGATTTAGTTCGAAGTCAGATAGATGCTACATGGGGTTGGCACTTTTTGTCCCTTTAACATTTTTCTTTTACCAAAGTTAAAATATGAATAAAAAACAGTGCTTAGTTCAAGCAATCACTTTCCAGCGCAACACTCAGTGCTTTTAATAGCATTTTTTTAACCTGTCAAGCAAAATGGAAACTTAAATGGCAGGTTGACAACTGACGTAAACTAAAGTTTTGTTTTCCACAGCCTTCTATGTTAGATTAGCAGGATAATAAAATGATTTTATTATGGATATTCAACATAACAATCAAATTTAAATTAAAGTACGAGTTTATTTATTTGAAAAAGAACAACTACGAGATATAATTATAATTTTTTATCAAGTTGGAATGTTCTAAATGAGATAATATTATCAAAAATAGCATTTCTAAAGGTTACTTTTTACAACTTAGATTTGGCGTCGGTTATTTAGCCTATACGTTTATTTAAAATATTTTTTATTACCTACTTCAATATTTGTAGGTTGTTGATTGATAGACTGGAAAGAGAGAAACACAACTTGGAGAACAAAATAAAATCCCTGAAATCGGACCATGCCAAGACTGTGCCAAATCACGAGATAGCTATGTTGAAATTGGAGAACAGACGCCTATACGAAGAGGTGGAGAATCTCAGGGAGAGAATAGAGAGTCTCCACCAAGGAGCTGGAGCCTTGGGAGCCGCTATTATGCAGGAAAAATTGGAGGCACAAGAGAGAAAAATTGCTGTGTTGGAGCTGAGTACCAAGGTAATTATTTGTTCACCAATTTTTCGTTATATTCAAATTTTTTTGAATATAAGAAGTAAAACTGATATATTTATTCTTTATATTCATCCGTTTGTAATGTATGAATAGAAAAAATAGTGTTTCTTATTATTTTTTTCAATGATTTGGAAAGGTAAACATGAAAAAATTGACAAACATTTTACTTTGTAATTAATTACAATTAAAATGATAGATAGCTGTTATATTCTTCTTGGACAGATAGAAGTGTCTTTAAAACCCAATTTTACCATCATAAAAAAACAAATATTTGTATTATATCATTCACTTAATATTCTATTAAAATTTTATGTATCTTTCTTATATAAAAAAATATTCTCCAACAATATTATAAACCTAAATAACAATTATAGTGACATAACATACTACAAAACCTACTAATAAATCTACTGGTAAATTTATTGTGTCTAATCTAATATTAGTATCAGTCTATGGGATTGACTCTCAACCACAACCCTCCTATTGGTGACAGAATGATGCCTTTGGTCTCCATTTTGAGAGGCAATTTCGTTCTAGGGCTCAAGTCAAAGTCGAAATTCATGAGGAATAGGGCAAGGGCAATCTTGGCTTGGACTAGAGCAAATCTTATTCCTAAACAAAAAAAATTACTTGAAATAGTATTTACATATAAATATTCAAAAATTATTGTTTGTTTAGCGAGCAGTTTAAATGTTTCGTTTTATCGTCAATAGGTTTCTCTTTGAAACCACTAAATAAACCAGCAATATAATATATGCATTTCTGAAATTAAAACATAATAGCGTTGATTGAAGAAATAAAAAGATGCGCAACCTTATAGGCGATTTTGTGACACAAAACCTGACCGAGACTTAGTTTAGCTCTGCGCCGCTGTGCGCTGATAAAGTACTGCTACGCTGTACCGTAGTTCTGCTTACAGTCGACAGAGTGGGCGGTTGCCGGAGACAGTGTTGCCAGAAGTACTGATTAATCCGTAGATTTACGGATTTTGGGTACAGTACGTTAATAATACGGATTTTCTATCCTTGAATAATTTAATATAATATTATATGATTAAACAAAGAACGGCGTCAGAGTTAGCTTGGAAATCAAGATCGATGTTATTTCATATGTTATTTCATATGTAAAATATTATGGTAAATGTCAATAATTCGTCATTTCCAAGCCAACTAAACGACTTTTTTCGATCATACGAAATATTCAGTACCTATAAAAGAATTATTTTTGTTGGTTATTCTATGTTTAACACAAATACATTTTCAATACAAAAACGCGGATTTTTTATCCTAAGATATATTTTCGTCAAACGTATTACAGATATAACACATTTTAATATGGCAACACTGTCGCTTTCAGTTCCACACCGTCTTCGATATGCCTTCGCTGGCCGAATTAGAGAAAATGAGCGTTTTATGCGTTGGCCGCAGAACGAGTTGAGGCTCCACCGTACAGCACTTGAGACGTAAGGGGAAATCAAGTCAGCCTTGTCACGAATTTGCGCATTGGATTGCGTGTCTTCCCAATTCTTTCAGTTAACAATAATAGTCTATTCATGGATAAAGGAAATAAATTTAGATTGCATTGTACCGCTCCTACATTATCAAAAGCTTTGGATCGTGTCCGCTACAAGAACAGCGCCAAATAGTATTTACATTATCCTTATGGACACCTCCCAATCTAAACTTGTTTTATTTATATTTGAGTCTATTCAACTAAAGAAACCGATATAGCAAATACAACTTATGTCAAAATTTGATAGTTATTAGATTGTTTTTCTGGAGATAGCTATTAGCTATAGTCTAAGATATGTGAACATACCTATACAATTTCGTGGTCCTGCTCCAAAAGGAATATAAGTTCCATCCACGATTTTATCCTTGTTCTTCTCGCTGAATCTTTCCGGATCGAAGATGTCAGGCTCGTGCCAATAGCGATCGTCCCTGTGAAGACCGTAACACGGAATCAGCACTGATTGGCCCTTCTCTATGTAGGCGTCAGTGTCAGGAATGGGATACCGCTTTGTACATACCCTCAGGAAAACCGGTGCAGGAGGATATTTCCTTAAAGTTTCTACAAACGAAAATACATATGTATAGAATACACTTATTAATACGGTAATCGCAAAACATTTTCCGATGCACTTCATTAATCATAATATCGAAATTGACACTAAAGCACATAAACCTGACTAAATGAAATTTTAGAAAAAATGTTTAAATTTGTTGTATAATTTAAGATACCCAGCAGCTCTTCATTTTACTTTATAGAGCAAATGATTGTAACAGATATTTTATTTAGATTAAAGCTGCAAAAATTAGTTTAAACCGAATTTTATTATCGCTATGTTGGTCACATTGCGTTGTTTTCAGCAAGGTTGTCGTTTATTATTTGACAATTATCCTAATGTCAGTCATTATTTTGTATAATATCGTGTTGTTGTTGAATCTTTGTGAGTAATTCTCGTTTTTTTGCCTATTTTCATAGTCTTTTTTTAAAAATTATACTTTAAGCACAAACAGTTCTTTTAAGAACTAAATTTTCGAGTTTTTGTATTGCTTTTCCTGAAATTGTTTGATGAAAATATGCTGAAGCATTTGAATAGTCGAAGCAAAGGGCTTGTAGCTTCCCTGATAAACTATATTGAACGTGAACGTGACAATAAAGATCCTTTATTACCCTTGACTGAAGTCAGAGAAGTAAGTTTAATTGGTAGCACTTTTAAAGATATTTCTACCTTATTAGTATGTTCTGTGATTATTGTTTGTGTATTAATGGCACCCTCTTACTTGTTATTACTTGTTACATAATAACGCTTAGAATAATCTTCATAATGGACTAGTTTTTGCCAATAAGTAATAAGTAAAATAAAACCAATAAATCAATTAATTACTAAAATATTAATTATTAAATTAAACACAGAACGTTTGACTGACGAGCGTCAGCGAGTCCGACATTACTGGCAAAACACAAAAAGTAATTTTTACTCCGAATAGAACATGCTATTTTTTTTCAAACGTCACAAATAATTTTTTAGACAATTGTAAATGTTCCAAATAATATAAAACCATTTAAAAGTAATACCTTGTAAGTAATTATATATCAAGAAATTATGGTTACCCTCGTTGAATTTGATACTTTATGTCGGTATAATAATATATTTTCGTACTTTTATGCCTAGGCGTTAAAATGACCCATTTATATTGTCAATCACATCGCAAAAACTAAGACGTTTGAAAAAAAAAGTATATTACTTTAAGCTAACATCTCTTTTTTGCTGCTAAGATTTATCTGGATGGGGCCTACTTTGTTTAAATTCGAACCGCTCTCCTCGGCCATATCATTAGCAATGGCCTACCGACTTGGCGAGTGTTTAAATCGATTTTTACTCACGAGATATCCGATCTCATCCGGCCTTGAACCGGCGCGAATGAGCAGTGTGTGTAAATAGATTTTACACCCTTGTCATGGAACAACAGCACAATAGAGTTTCCATACCCGTCCATCCACTCGTATCGTCTAACGTTACTTAACTTAGCTGGGCCGTTGCTCCTTTTTACAAAAAAAATTACAAACCAAACACTTACCGCTGATGATCTGATCCAAATATTTCATTTCCATTAGGGCATCGTAGGTCATCGTTCCATTGTATTTCTCTAAGACTGCTGAAATTTCTTTCCTGGCTTTTTCACGATACATAAAGTTGATTGAAAGTTCAAACAAGGCAAAACTAGTAGTGGTTGAGGTTGTTTCGAATCCTGCTAAGAAGAATATGAAAGCTTGGGCTGCTGCTTCGTCTATTGTTAAGGCTGTACCAGGCTCTGTCTCCTGAAAAAATTATGCCATAGTTCTATCACAGATTATACAGATTATAATCTTTGCTTTTTCTTTATTGTTTTTCGTGGTTCCAATTTTCGGAATCGGGCACTAGTTAGGTGACTAGTTTGCGCACATAGCACGCCCACTTATGGCCTCTAAAATTGTGAACAGCGCCTGACCGGCACAGTTATAAGAGAGATATCGGAAAACCGAATAGCGTCATCCAGTATTTACGCGTACCTTATCATGGTTACGATATGCGCGAGTCATTTTTTAACGCAACACCCGCTAATAACGTTACCGCCTGACGTAATTTGCGGATCAATTACACCAAGCGCTCTTTCTAAATAACCTCTGATAACGTTTAAAAATTGCTTAAATGGGCATGTGCGGGTATTTGACAACCGTAGCCAGCCGGCGAGATCTTTTATTTTAGGTTATGTTTGAATTGTTTTGAATTATTGCTTTAGTTTTATTAGATAATTTGATATTTAAGTAGCTGGGATTAGTTTTAATTAAATAAATATGGACCAAAATATGGATTCCACCTCTTCCAATACTAAAGAACCTATAAAGAGTCTTAGGTTTCCAGCAGATGACGACTTAGCCCTTCTAAGAGAATTTGTTGCTTGTTGCCCTAAACCCACTGGCAGACGTTGAACAATAAAGCACTGGAAATAAGCACTTTAGCCCTTTAGTTTTAAAATACCTAGTAAACAAAACGATTTCAAAGTTTTAAATTCAAAGTTAGGTTAAGTTTAAATAGCGGACGCAATGCGATCAGAATTCTTTCCGATCCGATAACTATAAATGAAGAGAGTTAATACCACCTCACGTAAAGGAAATAACACCTGGTCTTATTAACGTCCATGCACGCTATTCGGTTTAGCGATATCTCTCTATTACGTTGTTTATTGTTATTTTACGCGAGTTTATTTTTGCGCACAGGAAATTTGAGTCGTTTGCACATCGTCATAAAAAACAATTTTCGTACCACTAATTAGGGACAAGATTTTTATCTGTATACTTATAGGATACCTTATCTGTGGTTTTATTTACGCTAATTTTCTCAGTTTGTTAAAAGTAAACTAATCTTCTCCTGAGTGACAAAAAAGGAGAACACCTATACCGGGTGCGTCTCAAAAGTGGCTCATCTCTATATCTATTTCTTCAGATAATAAAGCGAGACTTGATATTTTAGTCTATAACATAAATTAGGATTGATTCAATTGTTTTTGGTTACCCCCTGTTTCACCGGAAATGACAACAACTTTTTTTTTTGATAGAAAATTATTTTCTGAATAGAATGATATATCACCTGTCAACTTTTTAAAATTTTGCATATGGTTGATTTGAAACTGTAACATGCGGTTCATAACGATAATTTAACTCGAAGTACCAAGTGTGCGTTATCAAATTATTCGTAAAAAAATTATTCGTGCTTTTTCCAAATATGCTAATGAGCCACCCTTGTTCCATTTGAAAAAATTGAGATATGATTAAAATACGATTGGGGCATCTTTTAACCGGCCAGAACAAGACACGAAAAATATTAGATGATCAAATCTATTTTTCCAAGGCTTCTTGAACACTAATTTTTAGTGTTTTTAACACAGGCGACACTCTAGATTGAAATTTAAAATACTATTCAGAATGTCATTTTCTATCGAATAAATTAAAAATATACTGAGGGTGCCATTTAAAAATCAAAAGTTGTAGTCATTTCCGGTAAAACAGGAAGTGACTAAAAACAATTAAATATGTCACTTAATCCTAATTATTGTCATATACTAACATACGAAATCTCGTTTTTTTATCTGAAAAAATAAAATTATAGGGGTGAGCCACTTTTGAGACGCATCGGTATAGGTGTTTCTGTACTCCTTTTTTTTCGCTTTTTATAAATTAGTCACCGATTTTTGTTCCTCAGTTGGTGTATCCTCATCGACTTTGCCCTTTTGCTTGAGCTGAACCAACAATTGCATGAAATCTGTTCGTGTCACATTGTTTTTTTCACGATATTCTATAGTTTCACGCACGACCCTTCTAAAGAATTCGGTGACATCTTTGGGGAAAACTCCAATTCCAAACAGTCTAGCTAAGAACGGGAAACTTCGAATAACTACCTGAAAAAAAAGAATAATTATTTAAATTTCCAAGACTTTTTTATTTCTTTAGAATTTTCTACTAGAATTTCTCGATTTTCCCGAGCATCTCGAGAAATTTAAAAATTTTCTTAGTTCAAAATGAGTCTAAAATTTAATAAAACTCTTTACCATTTTTAAAAGGTCTCCTACGGTTTGCGTGAAGGCTCTTTTGCCCATTTTTCTGAATTCTGCGTCTGGATCTCTCATCGTGTTACAGTCCAATCCAAAAGCGCAGCATCCAATAACGTCAGTGCTGTATCTTGCCATAATTTCCTAAAAACGATATTAATAGTTATAATTAGGTACTTAATATTCGTTCTTATTTCAACAATCAACACAAATTAAATAATTAATTGACACATTATTGTCAATTTTTAGGTACTAATATGAAAAGTAAACATTTAGTTATTTTGTTAATTTTATTAGTGACAATATAATTTACATATTTTTGAATTTTTATTACTCAAATAAAGAATGAATAACCGCTTTGAATTTATTGTATGTACAGGGTGTCCCATTTTCGTGCGTTTTATGGGATTTCTCGTTAATGAGTAGAGATACAAAGATGCGGTATTTATATCGTGTGCTACATTTTTATAAAACTAAAGAATGCCGATATCACCAGATATATCCTACCGGCCCTTATAGAGTCTTTTAGACCACTCTGTATCTTTGTTATAATATAACTTACCGAAAAGATGAAAACTGAGTTCCGTCGGGGGTTTCACGGATAATTCAGTGGCTAACTAGATTTTCGTAGGGATCTGTTATTTTCAAGATACAACTGAAACGTTTTTTTGAAGTGAATCTTTTTTACGCGCGTTGGGAGTAAAAATTCAAGGCCATGACACACGATCTAGTGTCAGGAAAATTGGTAACGGCAGTATTGCCACAGCTACCCCTTTGTAAAACAATTTAACTCGCTCTGGGTAACGATCTGTGTCATACGCGGTGTCATATAAGAAAATCAGTATAATAAACTTGATACTGTACCTGTGTATCAATATCCTATAGTTGTGTGCTAGAAAGTAAATTTTCACTAGTAATACCAGAGGTAGTACCACTAGAGTCTACCACTATTTCAGTTTTGAAGCTGTCAAACGACACGACTTAAAAAAATGTTTCGCTTCGGTCAAGAAAGCAAAGAAAATATTCGCCAGGAGATTAAGCAGTTGACACCCGCGAATACTAGGAAATCGAAGTCAAGCCTATGGAAGCAGTTTACTTTCGGTAATGGCTTCTCAGCCTGCCCTATGCGATATTATTGATTTTTACTTGTTGCAGTTACACGATAATGCAGTTTTTTAATGAAACATATTACATTCTTTGATTTTTTATTTACACTGGGTTACTACAAGTGGTAGAAAATAAAAATTTTATTAGTTCTATAGATACATACATGAACAGATTCAGTTTGGGTTGTAGTAGCTCAAAAGTGCCATTTTAGGACCTAAAATATTATATTCTTTCATTTTATAGTTACTTGGGTTTACTACAAGTGGTAGAAAATCATAATTGAAAAGGTTTTTCGGAACGCTGCATGAACAGATTTACAGCGCGTCACAGTTTTGGCAGCAATTTAGACCTTCAAATTGTTGACTTCTACTTGTTGTAGTTGCACGAACATACCATCTCAAGACACAACACAATATATTCTTTAATTTTACATAAGTTTTGAGTAACTACAAGTGGGAGAAAATTGCTTTTTTGCATGTTTATTAACTTTTCATAAACGCTTTATTGGTATGGAATTAATAACCAGCGCCCAGGCAGCGTCAGCAAGCGACAATCATAAAAGGCTGTGATCAGAGGCTGTGATCATCGTATTTTGACAGTTCAAGATATCAGAAAAACTCGCGTTTTGTAATAAAGAATATTGTGCAGCTTGAAAAACCAACAAAATTCTTTGTTTTAAAAATGAATCGGTTTGAAAATCATACTACATGCAAAATATGCGTGAAATTGTCTGATGTAATGATCAATCACCCACTTATTTACCTGCATTAATAGAGGATTGTGGCTCCTACTTGAAGAAAGAAAATTTGTTTCGAATTGTTCACGAATATTTGCATCTAAACTACTCAAAATTCAAAGTGCTAAATGGAAAAAAGGTGAATAAAATAGTGTCTAAATATTATATACATATATTTCATTAGACATAGACATTTAATTCAGCCCATTCCCAGTCCTACATTTTCGCTATTAAGAAGAAAGGAGTTGTCCAAATAATATAGAAAACATCTCAGCTTTGTAATTGAAATGTATCAAAATTATCATGTAAACAAATAAAAGCCAGACTAGTGTTGGGAAAATTCGAATTAAATAATACGACTAATTCGATAGTAAATTAAAACTAACTAATTCGAGTTATCTTTTTCGATATAATCGAGATAAAAATTAGTAGTATTTTATATTATATCTGTGGTAACCGAATTACAAATGAACATAAAACATAACCTCTTATGGACGAATACGAATATTAGTAATTAGTATATACAGGGTGTCCCAGAAATGAGTGCAGATATTTTAAGAGGTGGTAGATCTGGTCAAAATAAACATATTTTCTCTTTACCATTTTTAAAATAAATTGAAAATAACTGAGTTATTTAACTTTGAAAATTTAAAAAAATAATCGCAACATTTTGAGAACCACCGGCAGATATTGCCAACTACATCTAATTACCCGGATCAAGCCCGGATTTCAGTTAAATCGACGCACTGTGTTGCCATATGGACAAGAACGTGTATGTTTAAAAGTAAGTCATAAAATCACAACACCTGAGGAGTTTGCAGAGATGCATTACATTTTTTACAAGATTGTGATATTATTACATAAAAAAAAATAAAAGTTAAATGTTCAAAAGTTAAAAAAGTTAAATTAAAAAACTTACCCAACATTAAAAAAGATACTTATGACAGATCGATGTAACTGCGACAGTTCTCTTTTTCGATACACACTTAACTAAAATACACTTCATTGTGCTGCTTTACTTGTACATGCTATTATAAAAACTGTTAAAACAACAGTCCCCATTTTTAACTTAACACATTATTTTCATATAGGCTTCATCACATTTTGAACCACTGATTTACAAAACACCTTGAAAAGCACACATTACACATTACTTTGAATACCTTTCTGAATGAATAAATGTTGAGAATTATTGTCTCTTACCGCCACTTTACGAACTACTTTCAATCTAAGAAAATACATGTTTCACTCAACAATTTTAAATACGTATTTTCTTTTTCGCTATTTTTTCGATGTATTTCGACAATTCCGTCAACAGCCCAACCATCCGTCGGCCAAGACAGCCACGCATCACTGGTTGGTAACTGCTCACTGCTTCTTTGTCGCGCCGGCGTGTCGAGCTTGCGTCATGCGAGGTTGCCGTAGTTTCAACAATTTCAAATTCAAGACACTCGAAGCAATCAAATTCTTATTAAATTTTAAAAATAAAACAGAAAGGAAACAAACAAAACACAAATGAATTGATTATTGATAAGGTCACAAAAAAGAAATTTCTAAATTGTTTATCGTAATTCAGAATTCAATATATCGAAAACAGCCCGACGAATAATCAATTCATTTTCGTTTTGTTTGTTTCCTTTCATGTTTCTCTGTTTTATTTTTAAAATTTAATACAAATTATGATTGCTTCGAATCTCTTGAATTTGAAATTGTTGTAACTACAGCAACGTTGCTTAACATCGTCGTCTGACGCAAGCCTGCCACGACGGCGCGGCTCAAAGGACCAGTTCACACGTGGCACTCTTGGCCGACGCGCGACGGTCGGGCTGTCAAAATACATCGAAAAAATAGCGAAAAAACAAAATACGTATTTAAAATTGTTGAGTGAAACATGTCTTAAATTGAAAGTAGTTCGTAAAGTGGCGATAAGAGACGGTATTCAAAGTAATGTGCGCTTTTCAAGGTGTTTTGTAAATCAGTGGTTCAAATAAAACAGAGAAACATGAAAGAAAACAAATATTGAATTCTAAATTACGATAAACATTTTAGGAATTTCTTTTTTGTGACCTGGTTGTGAACAATATGATGAATCATTTTCGTAAACGTCATAAACGTAATGTTTTAGTTAATTTTCGGTGGTTTTTGTTAAGTTTTCATTGAAAGGGTAAGTACTAAACATAATTAATGTGTTTTTTTTTCTATAATAATTATTAATAATGAGCACTGATGAAAATTTAACATTCTTAATTTTTGAGTAGAAATTTTTCTATGAATTTATAAATGTAGAACTATGTAGAATGTGGATAACATAGGAGGTTACAACACTGCAAGGTTTAGATACACCGTAGAGAAATCTCGGTGAATAAACAAGTGGCACTAAAAAGTTTTTTCTGAATTTCGATAGAAAATGTCAAACTAAAATTTTAAATTTTCAACATTTTTTATAATCGAGATAAAAATTAGTAGTATTTTATACTATATCTGTGGTAACCGAATTACAAATGAACATAAAACATAATCTCTTATGGACGAATACGAATATTAGTAATTAGTATAGTACTATTAGTAGTATTCTTTCTTTCTGAACGAACTGAAAATTTTCACTTAAACTGATTTATAAAGGAAATCGACAAAGAAAAGAACGATCCGATATAGAAAAATCCAGAAATCATTGTTATTTCCTATACCACGTAGGAATAAATCAGTTTAAGTGAAAATTTTCATTTCGTTCAGAACGAAAGAATACTACTATTATTTGGTTCATTTCCATCTCACCCAAATTTCACCGAACACCTGCCGAACGCTAAAATTAATTTTCTTCTTTTATCTAAATAATTATTGATTGCAACTGATAAAATAAAAAGAAATACGAACCGCACGTAAACAAGGACATACTTATATCGTTTTAGAAGAAGCTTTTATTTGAAATAAAAATATTGACATATTTAAAAAATAAATTAATATTTAATTTTTTAATGAGTAGCAGCGCCTCTAGTGTTTTTTCGCATTTTGTATAGCTTTTACTTCCAGTCATTACCATTACAGAAAATGTTCTACAGGGGAATGTTTTGTGGTAGCATCTTTCGTTTAATAAAAAAATAGTACAGTGATGTGCAAACCGCATCTCTGTATCTCTACTCATAAACGAGAATCCCCATATAACGCACGAAAAAGGACATACATACTGTTCTTTAAACTAATGATGTGCAGAATGTTATTTAAGAAATTTAATTGTACTTTTCAATTCGAATATCAGTCAGTTTGTTGTCATATTTTCGTCACATACTAACCTTTATATCGACTGGTCTTCCCGACATAGCTATTTCGCCTACTAACAGCATCATTTCATGAGCACACTTGTACATAATGTCGAACATTCCTTTGATTTTAACCGGCGAATAGGCCGGTGTGAGTTTGGCCCTCAAATTCTTCCATTTCGGTCCTGCGATGGAGAACAAGTGAGCACTCAAAGGGTCGTACTTTTCGTCGTAATGGATACCTAAAAAAAAATTTTTTCTTGAAAAATAATATGATAAAACAGTAGCCGTTTTAGAAACATTTAAATGGCGTCCCTTACGAGTAGAAGTAGAAGTCATACTAACATCGAAATCGAATTTCTAATGTAAAAAAATACCCAGACACCAATTTTCATCCAAATATCATCGTTAGTTCAGAAATAATTTGGAAAAACCCCAAATAAAAATGAAAATTCTAGACCCTGCATCTCCGAAACGAAGAGTTTTAGGACAAACATTTATACGAACACTTATGTTTTTTTCTGCAGAACGTGTTGCCCAAGATTCCCGATTGCAACCGAACCAGCAAACCACCCTGTAGATAATATAACTTTTTCAAAATTTTAATGACAGTAACAAAAAAAAACTTTTGTCTTACCTCTATCTGAGAAATAATTAAAATCTTTGACCAAAATGTTCTTTATCAATTCAGGATCTATGGGTAAAAAGACTTTCCTGCTGAAAAAGTACAGGCCTATATAATTGTACCAATGTTTGGTTCCGAAGTCGTAGATTTCTTTGATTTTCTCGCCCATGCATTGCCGCCTAAAAGAGCAAAAAAATAATACTAAATCTGGTATAATTGTTAAATTATTAATATACAGGATGCGTCAACGATAAATGTCATTATCCCGTTTGTTTTGAGAATTAAGAAAAAAATATTAAATAGACAAGTTTTTAGGAACTGTTCACTGGTCGATTACTTTTTTTATTTTTTTTTCAGATAAAAAAACGAGAGTTGGTATGTTAGTATGTGACATAAATTAGGATTAATTAACGAATTCTATTGTATCTGGTCACTTCCTGTTTTACCGGAAATTAATAAAACTTTTGATTTGTTAATGGCACCAGCGGTATATTTTTACTTTATTCGATAGAAAATGACACTCTCAATAGAATGACATATTATATGTCAACTTTCACATTTTCACTTAAAATCTAGGGTGCCATGGCTGGGTTAAAAACATTAGCGTAACTAGCAATTCATCCTAGGGGGGGCCTGGGGTTGAACCCAGGGGGGGCCTAGGTTTTTTGTTCTTTAAAAAATGAAGATTAATATTAAAAAACACATTTTTTGAATAAAACGTTTACATGAATTTCTCTATCAATAAATTTTGACTTGGTTATCAAACCGTGTTCCTGTAGATTACTTAAATACCTAGAAATTTTCTAAAAGAAAGAAACACAACATTTTTATGAATAATGCATTTTTCTCAAAATGTAAAGAATAAAAAAGTTTTCCTTCTTGTAAAGAATAATCCGGGGACATACTGTAGAATAAAAATATTAATCATTAAATAATAAAACCTAAATACATAGGAACTGTTGGTATTTACCTTAAAATGGGATCTTTCATATCTCCAAAAGGAAATTCAGGGCTCAGTGAAGGCACTCTGAGCTCCAACCAATACATGTAACTGTAATGAAAATAAGAATAAATAAAAACCACAACACCGAAAATAACGTAAAACCAAAACATTTTTTTCACAAGTTAAAACAAATATTATTTGTTTAGTTACGTATTGTTGTAATATAACAGCGGAAGATACAGATTTGTAGTGACCCAGATGAGGAAGTATCTTCTAGCTAGTGAAAGTTGAAAGCGAAATTATATTATACATATAAACAACGATGTTTTGCTTGAAGGAAAGTGGTTAAACTTGTCTTTAGTAGATTTTAGACGTTTATACTTTTCAGTAAACGAGGAAAAGGCAAAGATTTTGTTTGAATTTTGTTGGTAAAACCAACTTTCTGTATAGGATTCGATTTTCTGATTAAATGTTGACCAATTTAATATATTTATTGGTTTAAATTATAGTAGTGCTAGTTTATAATTTAACTTTTTTTAATATGCAGTTAGACAATTTTGTGCGACGAATTCTAATTTCTTAAATGTACAGGGTGGGTCAAATTCGACGCTTTTAAGTTTTTCAAAAATGTGCATTTTTAACAAATCGCTGTAACTTTTTTACTATGGAAAATTTTGTATTTCTATGAAAACATTTCCAAAGCACCTTTTTACGTAGAATTTAATGGTTTAAGTATATTTTTTTTAAAACTAATAATTTAAGAGTTATCAACAGAAAAATTGATTTTTTATTTGGGACACCCTCTATATTTTTAATTTACTGAAAAAAATTTAAAATTACCTTTCCAAAAATATAGCACACTTGATATTTTGTTATAATTCCCTTCGAAATACAGAATTTTTAAAAGTTCGCCACTTTTAACTAGTAGGCTTTGGACCCCTTATTGATGATATACCCTTAATGGAACTAGAAAACATATTTTTCCAGCAAGACGACGCACCGCCTCTGAACGCTGAAGTTATCAGCAAATTTTTGCAGCCAATTTCAAGAATAATTGAATAGCTAACCAAGATCCCAGCCGTTGGCCGTCGAGGCCGCCTGACTTAGTGCCCATGGATCTAATCCTATGGATATATTTGCGGAAGAATAAAGGTTCCTTATTCTTCCATATAATCTAGACAAGAATTAGAAATACTTAGCACTTATTTCACCCCCACTGAGTTAATGAATTCCGCGAGAAATGTTCAAAAACTGCCCCGTCTGTCCATAACAGAAGACGGTCGATATGTCGAACACCTGTAGCAAAATCTCATGTCCTGGTTTGCTATTTATTTTTATTGTTATTAGATATAGTTTAAATGTGTTGTGATGTTGGTTAAATATATTTTAAATTGTTATAAAATTCTGCATCTCTCATAGCAAATATTATTTTCGTTTTAATTGATTCTCACAGCTAGAATTTTTTTGCATTACAGCCGGTGCCGTTCAAAGCCTACTTTTTTAAAGCGGGCGAATTTTTATATACTCTATATCTCGAAGAGAAATCGAGCAAAATATCAAGTGTGTTATATTTTTGGAAAGGTAATTTTAAATTCTTTTCAATAAATTAAAAATAAACGGGGTGTCCCATATAAAAAATAAAATTTTCTGTTGATAATTCTTAACTTATTAATTTTAGAAAAATTATACTTAAACCATTAAATTCTACGTAAAAAGGTGCTTTGGAAATGTTTCCATAAAAATACAAAATTTCCCATAGCAAAAAAGTTACAGCGATTTGTTAAAAATGCATATTTTTGAAAAACACCCCGTAACTCCGAAACGGTAACAGATATCGATATGCGGTTTTCACAATCATGTTTTTGACAAAAATTGAGCTCCAGACACCCATATTAGTTTTTGTCTATCTCCTATAGAAAAGGGTGTTTCCATTTAAAAGCGTCGAATTTGACCCACCCTGTACAAGATTTTCAGAGATATTTAGTCAGAGGTGGATAACTATTTAAAATTAAATTATTTAAAATAGCTATACAAAATTAAATAAAATGAAACAAAAGACGATCAGAAAGTTAAGATAAATTTTAAATAAAAACTTTACTTCTTATCGCACTAAATCCTTCTCTCTGAAAACCCTGTATACCGGGTGCGTCTCGAAAGTGGCTCACCCCTATAACTTTTTAATTTTTTCAGATAAAATAAACGAGATTTGGTATGTTAGTATATGACATAAATTTGGATTGATTGGCGTATCCAATTGTTTTTGATCATTTCCTGTTTCACCGGAATATTATCACATATCATATGTCAACTTTTGACATTTTCGCATATGTTTTATTTGAGGTTGTTATATGTTGGCATATGGTTTTGAAACACCAAGTGTATGGTACCAAATTATTAGTAAAAAAAATGCTTTTTCCAAATATGCTAATAAGCCATTTGAAAACATTGAGATATGATTGAAAATACGATTTAGGCATCTTTTAACCGGCCAGAACAAGATACGAGAAAAATTAGAAGATCAAATCTGTTTTTCCAAGGCTCCTTGAGTCAAAATTAGTGTTTTTAACTCAACCATCGGTACTCTAGATTGAAACTTAAAATACGTTTTTTAAGCGAAAATGTCAAAAGTTGTCATATGATATGTCATTCTATTCAGAGTGTCATTTTCTATCGAATAAAGTAAAACATACCGAAGGTGCCATTTAAAATTCAAAAGTTGTAGTCATTTCCGGTAAAACAGGAAGTGACCGAAAACAATTTAATGCGTCAATCTGTCCAAATTTATGTCATATACTAATATTCCAAATCTCATTTTTGTATCTAAAAAAATAAAAAAGTTATAATAGAGTGAGACACTTTCGAGGCGCACTCTGTATACATCGGAAAAATGTCCAAAATTATATTGAAATAAATTTTTAAATACACCGGTTAAACCATAATTGAAAAACGGTTCACGCAAATATAAACAAACTTATATGTTTGAAATAGCAAGAAAACTATTTTTCAAAAAAACTTAAAATATACAGGGTGTTTAATTAAAAAAGGTGGACATATTTTTCTTAACTTCCTGATCGTCTCTTATTTATTTTCACAATTTTAAATTTATTTTTTTTATAATATGCATATTTTTAATAAAAATCCGAAGAAACATTTTAATAATGGCAATAGGTGATTTCAAATAACAATAAGTGATTACAAAATTATTGGGATACTAACGTTTGAGTATTTCAATGCAATATATTCTGTGGTAAGTGATTTTGTAATGACATTTTCATTCTTACCTTACCAAAATACGGTTATATTACTTCATATATTTACAGGATGACTATTTGAAAATTAGTAATTGCTAGGGTTATTCAGTGCTAGATATTCTACATTTCTCAGATTTCAGACACTCTATATTTTGTATTAGAAGGCGTGTATAAAAATATTACGCTTTTATATTTTTTTTAAATAAAAGCCAATACATTTTATAGTATTTATTGTAAGAAATAAGGGTAAGTTTATATATTTCCTTTTAAGGGTAATATAGAAGTTAGAAATGAACTGGAACGACTTCACTCCACCTTATCTAACTTGCAAAAAACGAATCTATGTCTAGAAGCCGAAAATTTAGAGCTGAAAATGGATCTGGAAAAACATACCAAGGAAACGCCCCATCTTCAGGAGCAAATTCAACATTTGGAAAGGTATCTATCTACTGTAAATCTTGTCATAACATGACAACATCCAAGACAAAAACAAACTTTTGGTTTCTAGACAATTTTTTGTCTAGAAACTAGTCTAGACTACGTTTGTCTAGAAACTAGTCTAGACTACGTTTGTCTAGAAACTAGTCTAGACGTGAACGTTTAGTTTTAGTCTAGACTACTTCTAGTCTTCTAAACTAGTTCTAGTCTGTTAATCTAATATTTATAAAAAATCTTATATGTCGCCATTGTTTTAATTTTCCTAAAATTGAGAGAAAATTAGAGCAAAATATAATAATAATTGCTATTTTTTTTTATCTATAGTTACATAGAAGTGTTAAAATCTGAAAGCGAAAAACACGAATGTGCCAGTCCAGTTGAAGGGAGTTCAGAAGACAGAAGAGTGACTCAATTGGAAAGAACGGTTTTTATACTGAAAAGAGTAGTGGAAAAATTGCAAGTGGAAAACAAGAGATTGGTCAGTGAAAAAACACCAAATTTCGCACCGCGCGAGTTAAGAAATGTACATATTATGGTGGCCCATTATCCATTAGTGCGAGGAAATCCAATATCGTCGTATTCGTTAGCAAAAGATATGAAATACAGACAGAGAAATAAAGACTAACCCGTTTTTTTAAAAATATACTTTTTTTTTAACTAATTATATATTTGAGGGGCGTTTTTCACCCTCTTGGAAATTTGAGATTCGAGAACCCCTCCTTATCGAAAACCTCTACACCCCACATCCAATCCGTTTTGCCAAAAAATTCAGTCTTTTAATCGTCAGGAACATCAAGTTTAAGCAGAATCGTGGATTACTCAATGGTCATATTTTATGAAAACACCCTGGTTATAAAATTTTTTAAAAAATCTTAAAAAAAATATGTAAAACAATAAAATAAAATATACGTGTTTAAGAGTTTTTCTCGGAAACTTTTTAAATAAAAAAATATTCTAATGTTTGAGGGGTGATTTCACCCCCTCAGAGAATTCGAGTTTCGAGAATCCCTTCTTATCGAACCTCTACAAACCACAGTCAATCCATTTCCCCAAAAAACAGCTTTTTTTACCCGTCAAAAGCGCTTTTAAGCAGGATCGTGATTAATCAATGACCAGATTTTTCGAAAAAAAAAAACCTGTATACATTTTTAAAAAAAAAAAAAAAATGCCTTAAAAATATGTAACAAAACATAAATAAAATATACAGGTGTTAATTTGTTTATTACAAAAACATAAACAAAAAAAAAAAATTCTTTATTAAATAAAAAAATATTGTAATATTTGAGGGTGGTTCCACACCCTTGGAAGTGGAAATTTTCGAAAAAAATCCCTTCTTTATCGAACCTCTACACCTTTAGAATCAACCTGTATGCCTGTAATTGAGCTTCTTACGTTTAGTGGTTTGAGCAGGATCGTGATTAATCAGTGAGTCAAGTCACTTAAGGATTTTTTAAGTATATTAGTTAATAGGATTTGCATAGTTATAAAGACCC